AATTGTTCCACACAATAGAAACAGAAGGTTCGTTACCAAACTCTTTCTACGAGGCCACAATAACCTTGGCACCCAAGCCTCACAAAGACACAACTAAGAAAGAGAACTACAGACCAATATTCCTGATGAACATCGATGCAAAAATACTCAATAGAATACTGGCAAAACGAATCCAAGAATACATCAGAGAAATCATCCACCATAACTAAATAGGCTTCATCCCTGGATTGCAGGGATGCTTTATCATACGAAAATCTATCAACGTGATCCACTATATAAACAAACTGAAAAAGAAAAACCATATGATCATCTCCCTAGATGCTGAAAAAGCCTTCGACAAAATTCAACACCCTTTCATGATAAAGGTCTTGGAGAGATCAGGGATAACAGGAACATACCTAAACATAATAAGAGCAATATACAGCAAACCAACAGCCAACATCAAACTGAGAGAGAAGCTTAAGGCAATTCCTCTAAAATCAGGAACAAGACAAGGCTGCCCTCTCTCTCCATATCTCTTCAATATTGTACTTGAAGTTCTAGCTAAAGCTATAAGACAACAAAAGGAGATTAAGGGGATCCAAATTGGAAAGGAAGAAGTTAAACTGTCTCTATTTGCAGATGATATGATAGTTTACATAAGCGACCCAATAAACTCTACCAGGGAACTCCTACAGCTGATAAACACCTTCAGCAAACTAGCAGGATACAAGATAAACTCAAAAAAATCAGTAGCCCTACTTTATTCAGACGACAAAGAGGCTGAGAAAGAAATCAGAGAAACACCATCCTTTACAATAGCCACAAACAACATTAAGTATTTTGGGGTAACACTTACCAAAGAAGTAAAACACCTATATAATAAGAACTTTGTGACTTTAAAGAAAGAAATTAAAGAAGATACCAGAAAATGGAAAGATCTCCCATGTTCTTGAATGGGTAGGATAAATATAGTAAAAATGGCAATCTTGCCAAAAGCAATTTACAGATTCAATACAATCCCCATTAAAATCCCAGCACAATTCTTCACCGACCTTGAAAGGATACTAATCAACTGTATATGGAAAAACAAAAGACCCAGGATAGCCAAAACAACCCTGTACAACCCTGTACAATAAAAGAACTTCAGGAGGCATAACCATCCCTGACTTTAAGCTCTACTAGAGAGCTACAGTTCTGAAAAAAAAACCTGGTATTGGCACAAAAATAGACAGGTAAACCAATGGAATCAAATTGAAAATCCTGATATAAACCCACACACCTATGAACACCTGATTTTAGACAAAACAGCTAAAAGAATACAATGGGGTGGGCGGAGAAAAGCATCTTCAACAAATGGTGCTGGCACAATTTGATGATGGTGTGTAGAAGACTGCAGATAGATCCATGTCTATCGCCATGCACAAAAATCAAGTCCAAATGGATCAAAGACCTCAACATCAATCCAGCCACATTGAACCTCTTAGAAGGAGGTACCCTTGAACAAATTAGTATAGGAGACTGCTTCCTGAACATAACTCCAGGAGCACAGACACTGAGATCAATAATTAATAAATGGCACCTCCTCAAACTTAGAAGCTTCTGTAAGGCAAAGGACACAGTGGACAAGACCAAATGGCAGCCCACAGACTGGGAAAAGATTTTTACCCATCCTGCATCTGACAAAGGGCTGATCTCCAAAATATACAAAGAATGCATGAAACTAGTTAACAAAACACCAAATAACCCTATTAAAAATGGGGTACAGAGCTGAAGAATTCGCAATAGAAGAAATCAAAAAGGCTGAAAGACACTTAAAGTGCTCAACATCCTTAGCCATCAGGGAAATGCAAATCAAAACAACTTTGAGATACCATCTTACTCCTGCCAGAATGGCTAAAATTGGAAACACCAATGACAACTTATGCTGGAGAGAATGTGGAGAAAGGGGAACACTCCTCCACTGCTGGTGGAGTGCAAACTCGTACAGCCATTTTGGAGATCAGTATGGCGGTTCCTCAGGAAAATGAGAATTAGTTTACCACAGGACCCAGCAATCCTACTCTTAGGCATATACCCAAATGATCCACATCCATGCAACAAAGACATGTATTCAACTATGTTCATAGCAGCATTATTTGTAATAGCAAGAACCTGGAAGCAACCTAGATGCCCCTCAACTGAAGAATGGATAAAGAAGATGTGGCACATCTACAGAATGGAATACTACTCTGCAGAAAAAAATAATGGAATCTTGAAATTCGCAGGCAAGTGGATGGCACTAGAAGAAACCATCCTGAATAAGGTAACCCAGTCACAAAAAGAGGAACATGGTATGTACTCACTCATATATGGATTTTAGACCTAGAGCAAAGGATCACCAGCCTATAATTCACACCACCAGAGGAACTAGGATACAAGGTGTATTCCAAGAGATTCATATAAAGTCCCTCACAGAAGGGGGAAGGGACAAGTCCCCCAGAGCACAAGGGAAGTGGGGGGCAGTGAATGGAGAGAGAAGTAGGAGAAAGAGAAGGGGAGGAGAGGAAAGCTTGTGCGACTAGGAAGTTGAGTCGCCCTGAATAGAAGCCAGGGGAGGAGAGAGAGAGAGAGAGAGAGAGGGAGAATATAAAAGAGGGAGCCATTATTGGTTTGAAGAGAAAACTGAACCTAAAGAAAGTTCTAGAGACCTACAAGACTGCCGTCACCTAACAATTTGAGCAACCATGGAAAGGCTACCATACATGCCCTTCTGGATAGTGAGATCAACAACTTATCCACCATCATGGAGCCCTCATTTAGTACCTGTTAGAAACAGAAGCAAACATTCATAACTAAACACTGAGTCGAACTAGAATCCACATTCAGAGGGAGAGGAATTGGGGTGGGGGGATGGGAGGGGAGGGTGGTCAGGGTGCATGTGAGGGGGGAGAGAGGCTAAGAGAGAGGGAGGGAGGAAGGGAGGGAGAGGGAACTGGGATCGACATGTAAAATAAATAATAATAATAATAATAATAATAATAATAATAATAATAAACAAAATAAAGAAGAGAATAAAATGAAAAAAAAGAAAAAAGAAAACCTAACCTATACTGAAACTGCCTACCAAGTGATACAAATTCCAAATAAACCATTCTAACAGTTAAACAATAAAATAAAATAAAATAAAAAGAACATCTATTCACTATTCCCCAAGTAGATACTTTCCTCCTTGGATGTTTGCTCAGCTCTTTCTAGAATGTCCATTTCTTATATTTTCCCTCAACAAAAGAATCACTCATTTTTTAAGGGTCAAGTCTTAACTTCTCTCTGAAGGTCCATAGCCAAGACCATATCCCACAGTTCTTAAAGTTTTGATCACAGTGTGGTCCCTGAACCTACAGCACAGCACCTTTGGGGAAATTGTTGGAAATACAAACCACTTAGTAATACTCCAGACCTAAGTCAGAAACTCTGGGTACGCCACAGAGCATCCTGTCTACAAACAATCCCTCCAAGTGCCGCAATGCACTGCTCCAATGTCCTCTATATGCCAGCTCTATGGGCACACTGTACCCTGTTTTCCTCTATTTTACTGTCTTTTGCAGACACTGCATTGCTTATAAGCTGCAGGCCATGCCACCCCACAAGAAAGTTATTGGTGCCTGTTTTCCAACAGTTCAGATGATTTTTAGCATTTTTTAGTAATAGGGTATTTTAAAATTAAGATATGCAAATTGATTTTAAAGATATTAATGCATACATAACAGGCTACAGCATAGTATCAACATCACTTTTATATTTACCAGGAAACCAAAAAATTAATACAACTTGCTTTACTGTGAGATTCACTTTATGCTAGAAGTCTGAGGCCTATACTTTATTACATCTTACTGTCTTTACCAGCATGTAAACTCTGTAAGAACAGAACAGTGGCCTAATCCCCTGCAGTGCTTTCATTTAACAGATCACACGGAATTAAATTGTTTCTTTAGTGCCAAAGTAGAACATCAACAGGTTTTAGTGCATCCATTTTTCACTTTAATGTATCTGAAGACCCTTTAAAGGCTGTGTGTGATGGCTGCAGACACGCAGACACCAATCACAAGGGCAGGCAGGCTGTCCTTACCAGGAGACACACTTCTTAACTTTGTTCTAAGACTTGATGGAGGTGTAGTACATTAGTAATCACATTAATCATTTTACTAACAAGTTCCTCTTCTTCTCTGGCCTCTACATTTTTCTAAAATTTCTTAAGTGGTTTCAACTTCACCTATTACTTATACAGCAAATTAGAAACTAGCCTAAACTCTTACTTATTAATAAATAAGACTTAATGGTAAAAATAGACACTATCTTTTTGCTGTAGTAAAGGCAGCATGATGGTGTTAGATCTCAGAGCCCTGCAGAGTCAGGCCAACATGGCTGGAGAGAGTGTGTGTAGTGGTTGAGAGTGTGTCTCCTGCTCTTGCAGAGAATCCGGGGTCAGTTCCCAGCACTACATGACAGCTCACAACCATCTGTAACTCCAGTTCCAGGGGATCTTCTGGCTTCTGTGAGCTCCTGCATTCACATGGTACACATAAGCTCATGTAGGATCACACATAAACACATAAATAAATACAATACCTTAAAAAAGAAAAACAAGGTAAATAAAACAACAATCCATACAAATTTAATATTTCATTTATTTCTGCTCAAAATAAAATAACACTTTCAAAAGCTACTGGATCTCTGGAAACCCAGAAGAGTGAAGAACAGAACAGGACACATGAGAACTGTGTTAGTGAATGAGCTACATGCTAAGCAGATCCCTGACAGCAATATTTTGCTTCCTCAGATACCTTTCTTATGAAAACAAAAAATAAAATCTTAGTTTCTATTAAAATTGGCTTGATAATAAATTGCTTATAATGATAATTATCAGTTTGCTGATAATTACAACAGAAATAAAAATACATCAGTTCATATTTTTGTTATAAGAAAGTCAAGAAAGGATTCAAATTTAAGAGAAAAATTCTGAATGATCATCAATTATTTTTAAAAATAAGTATTTTGGAGGATTAGACATGTATATACTTTGCTTGTTAACTATGTTTTTAGAAAATGCCGTTAAATATTCCCAGGAGAGCCTTCATTTCTTCAGCTGCATCATCAGGATAATACTTACTAGGGGAAAAGCAAATGTATGAATTTTTGTAAGCCAGCTTATTTTAAAACACAGAGTAAATAATGTAACATTACAGTGTGGGTAACACAACAAACATACTTAGCATGATAATCTTGTCTATATGTAAACACTTACAGGAGACTGCAAATGCAAAGGGTGAGAAACAAACCTCTTATTTCTTTAAATGTACTGGAAAGTAAAGCTACTTCATAAAACCATGAACAGGCTTCTAAGCTCAGACTCTCCAGGGAGAGAGAAGCTGCTGCAGAGGCCCCATCTTAAAAATGGCCAGCAGTGAAGACACTGATTGGATTTATTATGACTGTTGAGTTGTGAAAGAGCTCGTGGGCTACCATATAACTTGAACTTTTATTTCGTTTGTATTTCTCCAATGACATTACAGTTTTTACTGTCAATAAAACACACTGCACTCAAATGAGTAAAATCAACTTTATCAACTCAGTGTTTTACAATTAATAACATTAAACATACAGGCTTTAAAAATTAGTATTTCTACTCTTGATGGCTCTAAGATCTGTTTTCGGAGATCTAAAATTTCCATGCTTTTAGTAAGTAAAAGGTTTTGTCTCTGATCTTTAGGACAAAGGAGGGTCTGGAGGGAGGGCTCAGTGGTTAGGAGCATGCACTACTCTTCCAAGGACCTGAGTTCAATGGCATCACCCACACCAGGTAGCTCACAACTGCCCATAACCCCAGCTCCAGAAGGATCCAACTGCTGCATTCACTTGTAAACACCTACACACACACACACACACACACACACACACACACACACACACACACACACGCACGCACGCACAAACACAAAATATTAAATCTTTAAAATGAACCAGAAAAGAATGCTGAATTTCTTTGTAAAAAATTTTTTGCTGTAAAGCCTTGAAATATACTTAACAAGTTCCTACCTGAGATCAATTTCCTTTTTAGAGTCACCATTTCCAATAAAAATATCCACTTCCTTAAAATTGAGAGACTGTGGTGTGTTCTTAGAGCGGGTAAAGCACACCCTCTCAATCTCTGGTGAGAGAGTTGGCTGTCTTCTCTCTTGTAAATTGACCTAAGTTTTAATGTAAAAAACAGCAACCACTGAAAGTTAAGTATTTAAGCAAAATTTAAAGTAAAAAGAAAAAGTACATGGCTTACAAGATTTGCATTTCCAGCCTGTTGAGGTAACTCTGCCACTGGAGATGAATCAAACTTGGGCACGGCACAATCTGATAGATAAATGTTTGGCTTCTCATGTGATGAAACAAAACTAAAAATTAAAATAAATTGGTTATGAAATATGAAGACAAGAAAACTCAGAGCATCTTAGGCTGGCCAATGGAGCAGTCTTGGCAGATGTGTGAGGGATTGCTAGTATGAGAGCTCTGGTCTCAGGCTCCAATAGCCAGAAAGCAGAACAGCAGGTGAACAAAGCCAACATCTCCAGTTCTTTGGAACCCATGATCCCCTGGTGTCTGATGCTAAAATCAGTAAGTGACTGTTTATGTAAAATGTTGAACCCCAAATAAAGGGCTGTCAGCATTTCTTGTCTTTGGCCAAGAAATTTTTAATCAAATCCAGTATTTCCAAATATACTTTTTACTTTGGCAAAATTATGTCAATTGAACATTTCTAAAAATTTTTTCCCTTTTCTAAATCTGTGATTCCTGTATTCTCAGACATTATCTCCATGTAACTAGCTGCCATGTATTCTTTCCTCTCCTCCATTATCATATTCTAGTAATTATCAAATTGAATGGACTTTATTTCTGAAATTTAAAAAAATTATCTTTTAAAATTAACTTCTTACATTTACTTTATGTATGTATAGGTGTGTGCACATGCATTTGCACACATGTAGGGCCCTGTATGGTGGTCAAAGGATAAGTTGTGGAAGATGTCTCTCTCCTTTCAATATGTGGATTTTGAAGATCAAACCCAGGTCATCCAGCTCAATGGCAAGTGTTTATCCCATCAGCCGTCTCACAGGACCCTCTCTGAGATGCATAGAAAGTCCAACTCTAATCTTTTTCTCATCATCTCTGCCAGGTTAGGTCTCACCATGTTGTCTCATCATGTTGACTATACTACCTCTGATGACCGTACCCTCTAAGATTCACTCTTTATCTGCTGCTACAACAATTCTCTCATAATTAAGTTGAATGTCTGCCTTATCTGTCATGGAGGGGACCCACGGAGACTCCCAAGCTAACTTTGGCCTACAGAGATCACTGCTGTTTTGATGGAGATGATTCCAAGTACATCAGCTTCTTTGAACTAGATGTCAAAATTTAAAACTATGAAACATCACATACTTTCCTTGAAAAATCACAACATCTGCCAACACTAAACCTATATTTCATAGACAGCAATAACAAGCTAGAGCTTAGTAGTAGTTTTTCTCTTTATTGGGAGAGCCCACTAGCTCAGTTGATAGAGAATGAGACTCTTAATCTCAGGGTCATGGGTTTGTGCTCCACGTTGGGTGTCAATTGGTCTCCAAAATCCTGCAGGCACTTGACTTTGCGAATCCTGTCCCACTGGATGCACTACTTATTACAGCATTCAAGGCCCTCAGACTCAGCAACTTCATCTTTATTTCTATGGTCACAATAATCAGCCATCAATGATCCTTTTGTATGGCCTGTCTTTTAAAGCCCTGTGTCCTATTGTTTAAACCAATTTAAACTTAGAATGCCTCTTTCCAACTTGTTTTAGAAAATATGAAATTCCTGGATTCCACCCCCAGAGACCATGATTCAGTAGGTCTGATGTGGGGGACAAGAACTCCTACTTTTAGTAAGCTACTTACTGCTAGATGATTTTGATGAAAGTGGTTTGACAATAGCACTTTGAGGGGGAAAAAAAACAAAACCTCTAATGTTAACAAAGTTTAGGTTGGTTATTTAATACATTAACACTTCTTTGGCATTTAATGAGCTAAAACCCATCTCCAGTTATGTTTCAAGAGAATATAAAGTTCTGAGACTTATAGATGAAAGTTCTGAAACTTGCCTGTTTGAGATTTCTCTTTGGAATTTGCTTCTTGACTTTTGGAATCGTAGCTTACTTTCCCTGGGACTTGAATCCCAAGAGTCTCCAAATCCTAGGAGAAGAGAGAACATTTTGAAATGAAATGCCAGTGACAGCTAATGGTGGTGGGTACAAATTTTACAAGGGGTCACTGTAACAAGGCCTGGTTAGCAGGATGTGGAGGGCCTGAAGAGGTGGGCCAGTGGGTAAAGTGCTCTCTGTGCAGGAATGAGAACTGCACTCAGCTTTCCCAGAGCTCACAAAGAATGTAGGCATGAGTTCACTGGTCAGTTAGTAAAGAAAAAAAAATGAAAGAGGGAGGAAAAAACAAAGAAAGAAAGAGGAAAAGGAAGAAAGAGGAAGAGAAAGAAAAGAAGAAGGGAAGGTAGGTAGGAAGGAAGAGATGTCCTAGTTTGCTTTCAATTGCTGTGATAAACACTATGACCTAAAGCAACTTGGGGAGGAGAGGATTTATTCAACTTGTAGCTTATCATCACGAAGGACACGAGGGCAGGGGCCAGAAGGTGGAAGCACAGACCATGAAGGACTGTTGCAAGGTGGGCTGCTGCCTGTGGCTTACTCAGTTTGCATTGACCTTTACAGGGATGTCCTGCGCACAGGATGGCCCTCCCACACTGGTCATTACACAAATGCCCCACACACTTGCCCAAAGACCAATCTGATGGGAGTGTTTTCTCAATTGAGGCTCCCTCTTCCTGGATGACTCTAGTCTGTGTAAACTTGACCCCCCCAAAAAAAACCCCAAAAACCCAAAACAAAACCAAAAAACAACTGACACAAAAGGTAATGCTCAATAATCAAAACTGGTTTACATACAGAATGTAAGGGCAAAAAGCTAAGGAAATAAAACTATGAAACACAAAAGCTAGTTTATTAGCCACTACATTTAAAGGTTACCACTATTTACTATATTTTACTACATTTTCAAATTCAAATATATGCCCCAATTGAAGCTTTTTTAGCATTCTCGATGGTCTGCATGTATTTGTTTTAAATACTCTACACATGGGGAAAGGTATTTACTGAAAATGGTTTTTCAGTGACAAGAGTCTTCACAGGGTTAGGTCAGCTAGCTCAGTCGGTCAGTATAGGCTGACTTCTAGCTTGCGGAACACATCAGCAATCTTGAGTTAGGGATTCATAGTTGTATAAGAAAAAGACCCAGTGACCCCACATCATAGATTCCCAGGCCTATTCTGTACAGGTTTCTATGGTTCTATCAGACTTTTGTCTGATTGTTTAGACAGTCTGAGGAGGGGCATCAAAAAGCCATCGTGGGAGGAAGAGTGTTGTAGAGGCTGAGGAACCACTACCTCCTGTCTGCCCGAATGGGAAAAGTGTCACCATTTTCCTCTAGTCAAATAACTGCTAAGAGTTTCAGTTCTTGGCTTTAGTACATCAAAGCAAATTTTTCTGTAACTCAAATATGCAAGTCTCATGATTTTGGGTTTGTGTATGATTTAAACACACCTTCCAATAAAGCACTAGCCCTTCTATTTGTTTATACCTGAAAACTGAGCATATCAGCGATAGACCAGAAGTCAAAGGGAATATTCTTAAAAACACAAGACTAGTGGGCCCCTTGTGACCTCAGAAGGGAGGCCAGGGCCTCTGTTTCATGAGGGATGATTTAATAAGCAGAATGGATTGAAATGGGATTTAAGAAGAGACAGAGGGATGGAGAGATGGCTCACTGGCTGCCCCTCCACAGGACTGGGTTTTTCCTCCCAGCACCCACATGCCTGCTCATTCCATCTCTAACTCCAGTTCCAGGGGATCAAACACCCTCTTCTGACCCCTATGGACACTGCATATATATAGTACACAGCATATGGGCAAAAACCCATACATACAAGGTACAAAAATAAAACGAATTGTAAAAAGAGAGGGGAAACTAGGATAGAATTCCACTTTATTTCTCAATTCACCATGAAACAAGAGATACTTCTTTTTTTTTAAAGTTTTCATAAAAATTATAATCTTACTTAAACAAACACATACAAAAAGGCAAAAAAAAAAAAGGAGCCTCTGGAATCAAAATAAAAATATTCAAAGACTTTTTCATGAAATTACTTTATGAGAAGCACACACACTTGTACCTGACATGGCTGTCTTCTCAGAACCAGCTGAAAAGTTCATAACTTCTAGTAAGCTTTCATCGTCAAAGTCATCCCAAACTTCATTTCCCAGCTCAAAGTTCACATCCAAAACCTCAGAAGACTTTCTTCCATCTGCAACACTGTGGTTTCCAGATGTTCTAGCGTGTCTGCTGAACATCATTGTCTGAGGGGTGTTTTCATTTGAAGTTATACAAGAGTTCCATCTGAGAAAACCTGTCATGCATGTATAAGAGTGTAGGTCCTTGTTAACACAAGTGTTGTCAAGCACTGATGGCTATTTGTTCAGACAATGTTATTTACTGCATTACATGAACTGACAGGTCCACTAAACTTAATTTTTAATGGGTTAATTTAACAATTATTACTATTGTGCATATGTGTATTGTGTGGTATGTGCTCAAGGCTGCACATGTCCCAGTGTATTGGTGGAGAGTAGAGCACAATTTTATGGAGTCAGTTTTCTCCTTCTGTCTTCACATGGGTCCTGGGGATTGAACTCAGATCTCCAGACTCACCACCACAGCTCCTGTAACCACTGAGCAACCTTGCCAGTCCCATAATTTTAATGGATTTTAATTCCTACAATAAATAACTTTGTTGCACTGCAGTCTATATTATTTTCTTATACAGAAAAATGTTAAGAACACTAATAATAGTAAGATACAGTAGATTAGGAGGTTTTAGACTTTCAGTACTATCTATCATCTTTGTTCTTAACAGTTTATTTGACTAAAATTTATTTTAAATTATCATAACATGTTTAGTATCAAAGGTATTAGTGCTGTAACAGTGTTGGAAAGGTTTCTGAAAGTTTAACAAGAATGTCTCAGAAGGCCGTGTAAGCCCCAGTTCCTCTCATCTGAAATACCCTGTCCTCTTCTTCATCTGCTCACACCTACTTCTCCTGTCAGTTGTGCCGACACTTAGAGCTCATTTTCATGTTGATGCACAGTATGTGTGCTAAAACCAGAAATAGTGTTAAATGCCATGGAAATACAGTGAAAAAAACAATTAGAATAAAAAAGACCCCCTTTAATCTTAAAGATTAAAAACGTGGAAGAACAATAGTATCTCTGCATGACAGAGCTGTGCATGTGGGGGGGGAACACAGAGAAGGTGAGGAGCATGAGAGGCCTCAGAATGCAGGAGTCTTCAGAATTTCTTGAGCACAAAGCAAGAGAAAGAAGGGCCCACTGGAACTGTATGCCAAGCATGTGTCAGACCATGCCAAAAGTAATCTGTCACATTAAGTTTTTTCTTCTTATCAGCACAAGACAACTATTGAAGATGCTTCTGCAAAAAGGTTATGTGATCACGGGATAATGGGACTGAAGCAGGGGAAAATGTAAGGAAGTTACTGAAATAAGGAGAGGAAAAGAGCATTTAGCCTAAGTAGCAGTAAAAACAGTAGATGGAGGAATAAATGCAGGAGTGGTGTGTGACACAGAATGATTAGGTCTTAGTGCAGAGTTACAAGCAGAGTGTGATTTAGAATCATTCCTTCTCTGCCTTTAGCAGCACAAAACAGTCGTGCACTGATCTGAAGATAGAGAGACCGAACACAGCACAAAGCAGACCAGAGTTCAGGTGTACGGACTACTAACTTTTAGGCAGCTGTACCCAGGAGGGTGATTATAGGAGTGAATTTGTAGTTAGAAAGACTTAGCAATCACCAAGAGTTATCTGATGATTTTAGATATGGCTTAGGAGGTACTATGTACAAGTTTTGCAGTAAAAAGAATAGAGAGAGGAAGAGGGAGCTGGAGAGGAACAGGAAGCAGAAGAGGGAAGGAGGAGGAAGGACAGACAGATTCATGTGGAACAGCAAAAAGAAAAGCCCAAGAAGAGTGAAAAGTGATGGGGAAGGCTTATTGGTTGATGAATAAAGCACTGTGTCCAATGAGGCAGGATGATAGGTGGGACCAGGAGACAAGGAGGATTCTGGGAAGTGCAGGCAATGAGAAGTCATCCTGTGATCCCGGGAGAGAGAGGACACAGTGAGGCGTCTCTCCTGTAAGATAAGACCATGTGGAAATACTTAGATTAATAGAGATGTGTTAATAATTAAGACAGAGCTAGCCAATAAGAAGCCTATGACAATGGCCAACAGTTTCATAATCAACATAAATCTTGTGTGTTTATTTGGGGGCTCTGAGATGGCTGCAGAACCCACTGGGAACTCCACAACAGAGAAGTAATCATCAGGGTGGTTTAACTGGAACCAAAGGAAAAACTTTCTAAAGGAAGGGAGGAGCAGAATGGCAAACACTCCAGAGAAGAGGAATTGAGCACCTAAGTCACTAAATGGCCCAAGGAAGAGTAGTCTCAAAATCATGATGAAAAACCCAAATTTTAACAGTATGTTAAATATGCAAGAAATAAGTGTGAATTGCTTTTAGTACTTTTTACTTGGTAAGAAATCAAGATATAGATATAGAGAAGACCACAGGATTCTGATTTATCATCATCATCACTACCACCATCATCGCCATCTTCATCTTTCTGGAACACTGAACTTTCTATCAGTAGAAGCATTCTTCTGCTTTGGGGAAAACTTTCCTATGTCATTTTAGGTGATCTTGATGAGGCCATTGATCATGGTACCCTGCTTTCCCTGGGGCCACAGGGACAGAATGGCCATTCCCCAACAATAGATTTACCCAGGATGAATGCATTGCTCAAAACAGACTACTCAGAATGATTTCGGTCTGTGTACTACAAGAGAAAACTATCTTTCTCTATTGAGATTGTTAGACTGGAAGGACTAAAATTTGGGAGGGTTTGCCACGTGAGAAAGTCTATTTAACAAGTGAAGCCAATTAACAATAAACATAGCTGAAAGACTGAGAGAAAGCCAGAGGTATGATGAGATCATCTGAGTGCCTGGAGCTAGCAAGATTAAAGTGAGATGCCTATTTGGACTTCCAGTTTATATAAAGACAACCAGTTATCTCTTTGTGTGCATAAGTCCATTTGTGTAGAATTTCAAATCACTTATCATCACAAAGACCATGATTAGCTAGATGGAAACTGCTTGCAGCTGAAGAAGGGAAAGACTTAAGCATATTTATATGCTAAAAGGAAAAAGACAATAGAAAGCAGATAGTAGTGTGAACTGGATGTGGGGATGAACACCTGTAATTCAGCACTTGGAAGGCAGAGGCAGGAGAATAACAAGTTAGATGGCAGGTAGTATGCAATTCCAAGTCAGACAGGGGTATAAGGAGAGACCTTGTCTCAAAAACCAAACCAAAACCAAAATGTAGACAGTGAAAATATTGGATAGAGCAGAGAATAACTGGCCTTCTAAATTCCCAAAGAAAGCAAAATTACATAAAATTCACATTATGCCTTGAACTGAAGAAAAAAATAATTCTTCTTTTAAGACAATAGAGGGTTAATGATAGATGCAAAATACATCAGTTGGATGAGGTGGGATGAGATGGTAGGAAGTTCAAAGAGTTCATATACTATAAGTTCAACACTCAATTTTCTACTGATAACTAAAAGTCAATTTCATTTTCTAGAAATGGCATTGGACTGGGAATCAGGAGATATGGAATCTATTTCTGGCCCTGCCATTAATTAGGTATGTGATTTTGGGCGAGTCATTTAATCTCTTAGAATCTTGGCTTCCTTTACTATAAAATGAGAAACTGCACAAAGGTCCCTTCCAAATTAAATTTTATGATTCAAAATGCTTTCTCATATAATTTCTAATACTTTTTTCTTTTTCTCTTTGTGAAACTGGAATACAGATAATAAAATTGCCATGTTTTTCTTAAAACATTCTCAACACTTAAAATATTTTGACAATAAAGACATTAGTATGGAAACTATAATAAACTTATTTAATTGCCACCATTAAGAACAGCAAATATTACTTTATGAGCTTTATAAGCATTATCTCATTTAGTCCTAAAATGTCTAAAATAATCAGGTAGGAGAATTGAAAAAAAGTACATAGATGTACATGAGGGTTACAGTGCCTGGCAGAATTAGAATGTGACCCAGAAAGACTGTTTCTAGAGCCTGTCAGCTTCACTACACATATGGCTCCTTCCTTAAAATGAACGAGAGGAAGGGAGCATGAGAGAGGGAGAAAGACAAAGTGGCTTACTCAGCAAAACAAGTTGTTGGGGTTAGAGTATCTAGATAATGTTTTTATATCATACTATAAATTAGAGTTTGGATAATGAGTAGAAAACACAGGAAACAAACAATGTACACGAACCAATCAGAGGAAGTATAAGCTGTGTGTAGGAGGAGTAGAGAATAGTGTGGCAGCATAAGAAAAGCAAGCCAGAGGCTATGGCATAAAAAAAAAAAAAAAGATAAAAGAAAAAGACTGAAACATGTAAGCTTCCTGTTTTATAATAAGTAGTTTGCTAAATTTCTGATCATCCAAGTGAGTTAGGAAACTTACTTGATCTCACCTTAGGCCTAATGGATGCCATGATGTTGTAAGAGTTAGCAGATCTTCTTGCACCTCTAAAATTATATATCTAGTTATTTATTTTGACATGTTGTGCCATGTGACCTAGGATGTCATGTATGCTAGGCAAGCACTGAGCTGCATATGCAACTACCTAGGATTTTAAATTGTGACCAAAGGAAGCAAAGTAACATAATGAAGCTGATGCCCAATGTGAAAATGTTTTCAGGAAACTCCAAGGCTCATCATTTCATTTACATTTACACACAGTCAGTTAAACAGGGTCTTTAATATATCATGCTACTAATAGAATGAGTCATGGAAACAATATCAATAGCATAGGGATCCAAAATAATGGTGCTGAAGAATTCATATGTAGTGCTGCATTTGTAATGTCAAGACAAATAAAAGCAAATCTACATTACAAAATTTCTGTGCCTCTCAAACATGTTTATTGTCTCATTGCATCTAGAAATTGTAAGAATCATAGTGTTAAGAGTGGAAGAAATACTAATGGCCAGCCATCTTGATACATTTATTTATTTATTTATTTATTTATTTATTTATTTATTTATACTTTCTGTCTTTGTTTTTGAGACAGGGTTTCTCTGTGTAGCTCTGGCTGTCCTGAAGCTCACTCTCTAGAAGAGGCTGCCCTTGAATTTAGAGATCCAGCTGCCTCTGCCTCTCAAATGCTGGTAATAAAGGTGTGCACCACTGCCTGGTGTGATATCTTCTTTTAAATATTTTTTGCATTTATGTGTGTGTGTGTGTGTGTTTGTGTTTGTGTGTGCACGTGTGTGTACGGTTGTACACATGCCATATGTATGTGGAGGTCAAAGGACAACATGCAGGAGAGAAATCTTTCCTTCCAGCAAGTGAGCTCTGGAGAATGGGTCCTCAGGAACAAGTACTTTTACCCACTAAGCCGTCTCACTAGGTCCCAACACTTTTTATAAATGATACTAAGACCCAAATAGGTCAAACAATTTACCCAATGTCACACAACTGTTTTATGAAACTGGACTAATAATATCTAAAGATATATAGAAGTAGTAATTCATCATTTTAATACTTTGTTCACACAAGGATCTCTAATTCTCCCAGTCCTCCCTCACATTATCGTTAGATAAGACAGTTAACCCTTCACAGAGAAGATACTTAGACTCTTTGACATGCAAGACAATTTGAAATAACCCAAGAATTTGAAATTGGTTCAAAACTTCAAGAGAAAACTGCAGTTGATATTCACAATCGTTTTAGATGCTGGGTTTTCACTTAAATGACTTGTTTGCCTTCTAATATCAAACTCCCTCACACTAGTCAACAGCAATAGCAATTTACCTTTGTCATGATATTCAGATGATTCCTGATTAATTTTTTCATAGACTTCATGCTCACTCCACTGTTCCAATGTTGACGATTCAGGGATGTTCAAAGATTCTGACCTTTATGAGGATAAACAAAACCATAAAAAAGAAGTACAATGGCCTTGGAAATGGTTTATTCAGTTGACAATCCTGTGATAAACTTATTAACTAAGGGTAAAAGTAAATGTTGGATGGAAGAAGCCAATTCTTAGTCACTTTACATGCCCCTTTATAGTCTTTAAAATCTATTGACAAGGCTACTCTCAGTTAGATAACAGATGTTGAGATCTCTAGAAGTAGTGCTGGGATCTAGACTTCTGATCCATCGGCTCTTGCTCTATATAGCTTGATAAATAAATAGAATGTCATTTTGGAAGATAGAACTCTTCTATCTCTCCTCCTATCTGAGAGATTGGTAGTCCATGTTGGAGGGAGGGAGGGATATCACTTTCTTCTGTGAGGTAGCCACTGGTGAGTTTCCTGGGCTCCAGTAAATAATCTTCCATCAACGCTTATACAAAGAGTCCTAGTTAAACTCAGTGGCTCACACACAAAACAAAGACATGAAAAGTAGGAAGGTGTGCTGGAAAGAAGAGTTTCATTGGGAGAAGGAGACTGGATGGGAGAGGAGAATATGGAGTGAAGACACCGAAACTCATTATATGCAAGTATTAAACTGCCAAAGAATAAAAAAATAGTTTAAAAATACAGAAAAGAATATACTGAATAGGATAAGCTGAACAGGAAATTATATATACAATATTATCTTCTCTGAATCATAAGAAAAGAACAATGAATTATCATCTGAGGTTTTCTGCTTATTAACTGGGAATATATGAGGTATGCTTTGCCATTAATAAAATGAGATAAACATCACATATTGAGGTATACCATTAATAGAATCAGTACCTGAGAGGGAAGACAATAGGATTATGAATTTGAGACCAGTCTAGACTACACAATGAATTCAAAACCAGTCTGGGCTACATACTAAGATGATGTCTCAAAGCATCAACCAGTAAATAAATACTATAAAAACATAAGTTAAAGTTATTCTATGAGCTATGTTGTTATGAAGGTCAAAAGATATATTGCACAAGCAAAATTTCAAATTATAAAGTACTTTTCAACCCTAAGGTATTATTGGTATGGAATGAGCACCTGCAGGGAAAGATTAAACTGACCCTACAAACACAGGCTTTCTCATAAAGCACAGTGTCTCCTGTCTCTTAGAAAGCAGAGAACCAGGGGATGACATAAGGGATGGATAGTTTCCCAGTGAAGAGGAGATCCAAGGAATGGTAACATAGGAGACACTGAAGTCAACATGATAGTGTTCTTATATAATGAAACTAAATGATTATTGTGATTTTCATTGAGTAATCAGTGACTAACTTCCCTTGAATAAGTGGCCATCTGAAGGACAACATTTAAATAAATACTTTATCTTAGATATTAACATTATATTTGTACCTTGATATACTGGAAAGGGAAGGCCTTGGAGTAAAACCAAACTCCTTAAGGTCCACATGTTGAGATTTGTTCATCTGTATCTGTTAATTAAAAAAAAAAAAAGAAAAGCTATTCCAAGTTCAACTATCATTTATCATTTTCACAAATAAACCAAATAGTAAAGTTACAGCTGGTAAATAAAGTCCAGAGATCAATGAACTAAGAGAGTGTCGGGCTAGTTCTCAACTCAAATATTCTTCTTAGACCCTTCTCAAATATAGACAGTTTTCATGGTTTTCGTTTGCTTTTTATTTTTGTTTTGTTTTGATGTGGCTTCTCTTCTTGCTCTGTTTGTGATTTTTCAGAAAAAGATCTTTTGGCCTCTATGGCTTCGGTTATCATCATTCTGTGGATGACTCTCAAGTCTGTGTTTCTACTTCAGTTTGCCTTCTGATTTCCAGTTATAGCCAACTGCCTCTCTGACGTCTTTATATGGAAATCTTACTTTATTGTGGTGGTGGTATTTGGAAACCAGACTCAGGATTCAAATGAGAATGATCCCCTCAGGCTTATGTATTTGAATACTTGGCCCCTAGCTAGTGGTACTGTCTGAGAAGGTTACCCAGTATGGCCTTGCTGGAGGAATAGGTCACTAGAGGAAGTTGCTCTCTCTACTTTATGCTTGTGGTTCAAGATGTGAGCTCTTAGCTTCTACTCTAGCCACCATGCCTACTTCTTGCTACCACACCTCCCCACCATAATCAATCTTACCCTCTGGAACCATAAACCTTGGTCATGTTTAATCACATTAAGAAAAAAGTACTAATACATATTCTCTAGGCTAGCACTAAACCATTGAGCACTCTACTATTCTCAGCCCTAAACCCAGAACTTTATTTTGTTTTGTTTTGAGACAGGGTTTCTCTGTGTGTAGCTTTGGAAGCTGTCCTGGCACTGGCTCTGTAGACCAGGCTGGCCTCAAACTCAAGAGCTCTGCCTGCCTCTGCTTTCTGAGTGCTGGAATTAAAGACATACGCCTCCACCACCAGAGCCCCAAATTATATTCTCAGAAGACATGTGATGATCACTTTAAATCTCATATTCTCTTTATTTCCTAATATTCCCTTTATTTAGCCTCAATGAACTCTGTCATTGCATAAAAGCCCACAAAAAGGCTTTTCTAGGGTGTGATGACTTCAGCTTAAGGAAAGCTCTTGTTCTTTCACATACTGAGGGACAAGAATCTAAATAATTTCAGAATTTTCAACCCAGTCCAGCTCAAAGCCAAGACAGGGCAAGGCAGTCTAGTTCCAACTGTTGTTGAGCTAAGTCAAGCTCAGACTCCTCTTTTTCTAGTTCTCTGGCTTAAATGATCCCTAGACGAAGGTGAGGAAAGGGCTGGGCAGTTATGTTCCAAAAATAGATTTATAGATTGATTATAAATAATGATCATATTCCTAGTCAAGTTGGTAAATAACTTTAAAAAGCATTGTATATATCTACCCACCTCAGTGATGCACAGGACAAGTGACATTTGCATCCATTTAATTGCAGAGCAAAGGATAAATGCTATTAAAGCTAACCTTGAGTCGTTTAACTGGAGGAAGAGACGAGACGGCATCTCTGCTTTTTAAGTCAGACAAATATGAAGACATTGCTGACTCTTTAACTTCTGCCTTTTGTGGAACTCCGATTTTACCTATTAAAAGAAATTGTAGAGTCTCTTCTTGATGTTTAGCTTTTTAAGTGACACAGGAACTTGTTATGCAGCTCAATCTGGTCTTCAACACACAATCCTCCTGCCTCAGCCTCCCAAGTACTAGATAATAGATAGCCAGTGAAATTTTAGAATTTTTTGGTATTACATTTTTGGCAGTGTTTAAAAAAAAAACTAAATGTCAAATCTAATGTTTATTTTTTTCATATTGTTCTTCTATACCACAAAGGAAAAACTATCTGTAGAGTTTTAAGTTGAATGATATAAATATCATATGTAGAAAATTAGCATATCATTATTATTTGCTCAAGACATTTATTTTTATTCTTAGTTATATATGTTACACATGTGTGTATGAGTGCAGGTGCCCTCAGAGGTCAGAGGAGAGTGTTAGAGCCCCTGTAACTGAAGCTGTAGATAACTGTGGGTGATAGAAACTGAACTCAGGTCCTATGCAAAAGCAGTACATAGCCACTGTGCCATCTCTCCAGCCCATATTCACCAAGGACATTTCAGTTTTGAAATAATCTTGACAGAACTCACAGCAGTCATGTCCACATGTGTGTTTATTTTTACAATGATGATTGCATTCCCGGTTCCCAGGTTTTTTGCAGGTAGCCATTCCTAAATTAATGTGAGAAAGAAATACATTTGTTATTACATCTAGTATTATACATTTTATACAAGTACTTTTGATTCACTCTTTTTTCCCCTAGGTAGTAGCAAGAACATGAAAAAGGTATTTCTAGTAGCACACTCTGTAAGGAGTAAGGGGTCAGCATGGAGAGACTGGGGAGACGAGACGCTGGCCCCTTTCCCCGGTAAGAAGACCACGTGGAAATACATAGAAATGGGTTAATACTTAAGACAGAGCTAGCCGATAAGAAACTAGTACCTGGCCAACAGAATTATATCAAATACAGAGTCTCTGTGTGTTAATTGGGGCTGGGGAGGTGGCTGGACAAGACCAGGCGGCGGGCGGAAAAACCATACTTGTTACACACACTCTTCCCATTGTTAGCCCCATCCCAGCTTTTCATATGGAACGTATAGCTACCTATAAACTGCTTTCAGTTTCTCTACTAGAAATATAACCAATACAGCAGAATATCAGCAACAAATTTTGCCCTTATAGAAGCAAGAATGAAGATGGGATTTGATGGAGGAATGTCCTGATGTATATGTTTCTCTTACTGGTTGATAAATAAAACACTGTTTGGCCAATAGAGGCAGGAAGACAGGTGGGACTAGGAGACAAGAATTCTGGGAAAGGTAGGCAAAGAGAGACCTCAGAGAGACTCCATGTAGCTGCCAAAGGAGTAACAGGTTCTGGCATTCTCTGGTAAGTCAAGACCACATAGAAATACATAGATTAATAGAAATGGGTTAATAATTAAGACAGAGGTAGCCAGTAAGAAGCCCTAGCTATTAGCCAACAGTTAATAATTAATATAGCATCTCCATGCTTATTTGGGGCTGAGAAGAGTGGCAGGACCTGGCAGACAAGAAACTCCAGTTACAGGGATTTAAAACGTTGTTTCATACTCAAGGCTGAGCATTTGGAAACAGTAAATCTCACAGCACTATAATGGCACACTGACTAGTTAGTAAATAGGACATAAATGTTTAGTGAGTTATAAATACTTTAGGGACATAAAATTTGCTATAAGAATTTAAAGAAGGGAAAAAATGCTTCCAGATTGATGGCTCTAAACTATAACCAATGTATCCAAATACACAATTTATTAGTATATTACATATGTATATGATGTTCACCTATATGTGGGTTTTCTGGGTTTTTTGTTGTTGTTGTTTGGGTTTTTTGTTGTTGTTAAGAGTACTAGGGACTGAGTCTAGGGCTCTGTGTGTGCTAAATAGGCACTCTACTCCCTACACTGGCCTTGAACTCACGACCCTCCTGCCTCAGTTCCCCAAACAGAATTACAGGCCTATCACATTTACTATGTTCTGATTAGTAACATTGAGAAGGGGAGAATATTTTAATTCTCCTTATAGGATAGGCAGAATCTGGACATGGGAAGGGAGCAAGGAGAAGATATTCCAGATAGAGGTCACAATAATCAAAGACAGTAAACTACAGATTGTAGAAACAAAAACCCACTTGCTTTTGCTGGAACACAAATTTTAAGCGATGTGGAAAAACTGAACAGCTATGAAGACCTTTACAACCTTCCTTGGCCTTTTTATTTTCAGTATCATTGTTCAACCAATCTTTTTCAAGTTAGGGCACAACTAGATATTTATATCTGTTTTAAAAATGAGCTTTATTTTTATTATATATTTGTTTTATATGCATTGATATTTTGCCTGCATGTATGTCTGTGTGAAAGTGCCAGATCCCCTGGAGGAGGAGTTATAGGCAGTTGTGAATTTTCATGGAGGTGCTGGGAATTGAACCCAGATCCTCTGGAAGAACAGCCAGTACTCCTAACCACTGAGCCACCTCTCCAGCCCCCAGATGTTTATATATAAACAGATGAGGCTTTTCACTACAAAGGCAGATGTCTGGTCTCTCTGAGGACCAAGAAGGTAGATATGCTAGGCACTATTATGGTTTGGGTATAAAAGGTCCCCCAAAGTCCCAGGTGTTTGTCCCTGATTGCAGAGAACAACTGAGAAATGTGACTGATGCCTAGGGGCTCTTGCTTTCCTCAGTGGCCTACTCCACCCATGGTTTTATAATCCAATGCCATTATAGAATGGTGGGTGTTAGGAGGTGGGATATAGCTCTATTAGCTTGCTGGAGGAATGATTTTAAAGGACCTATCTCATCTCTGGCTCTTACTTGCTCCTTTCTGTTTTTGATGCCACAGGGTGAGCAGCTCTGTTCGACCACACCCTTTCCCCATGGTGTGCTACCTCACTACAAGACACAGAATCATTGCAGCCAGCCAGCATGTACTAAAGCTGAAAGAAATCCTTCCTCTGTTAAATTGTTTCAGGTGTCACAGCAACAAAGTCTGTCTGACAGAATATCAATTATGTGTCTTGTAACAAAGCATCTGACAACCAGAGAGATAGAAAGCTCAGGGGTTAAAACCACTCCTGGCCTTTGCAGAGGACTCAGGTTCAGTTCACAGAAGCCACAGGTAGCCACTCACAGCTGCTGGTAATCCTGGCTCCTTGCAGACTCTGCCTCTGGCCTCTGTGGGCACCTGCATTCATGTGCACATACCCAAACACAGAGAAATATGCTTCTCTGGAACCAGAAATGTGTTTCCTAGGTGAATGTAAATCCAGTCAAATTCACAGTGAAGAATAACCATCACATACAGCCACTGACAGAGTAATAATAATAAAATTAACAAGTCCCTGGCATTTGAAAGTAGTTACACCACAGTGTTCTCAACTAAACCTGATTCTGAAAATACAAACAACACTCAGATAAAGCTTCTGTGACCACAGTGGAAGACCTGTAAGACTTCTGTGGAATTATTTCTGAAACTAGAGATAAGAATGCCCAAGAACCACAAAAATAATGGAACATCCCCATCTTCTGGATAAGACAGATGACTACTAACTTTAAAATCTACTTTCAAAATAAAAAGTGTTAAGACCAGATGTGGTGGCACATGCCTCTAATCCCAGCACTCGGGAGGCAAAATCAGACACCTCCGAGTTCAAGGCCAGCCTGATCTACAAAGCCAGTTCTAGGACAGCCAGGGCTACATATGAAACCCTGTTTCAAAAAACAAAACAAAATTTTACAAAAAAAAAAAAAAAAAAAAAAAACAGCCTTCTTTTTTTAGGTAGGCGTGTGTGTGTGGGGGGGGGGGGGTTGGACAGAGGACAATTTGCCCTGGTTGGTTCTTTCCTCTTGTGGATCCCAGGGATCAAATTTGAGTCCTCAGGCTTGGCAGCAAGCACTCTTACTCCTCTCCTGATCCTTGTGGTCTTTGGAAAAGCTGTAATTATGCCTCATAAGTAGATTTTCTTTCTTCCATCCTAACAGGAGGTGCTTTTTCTGGTGGGCAGATTTATATCTCATGGTAGGTCTCAAATTTTTCTCAACTTTTTCCTCTGATTTTTTTTTCTCTTTTTAGAGCACTCATTTGACTCTAGGCTCCTAGATTGTTTCTTTATCTGTTTCTTGGTCTCTGTTTTGCTTTGTATCCAGTGTGTACATCTAACCTCAGATTTGACTTCTCTGTGCCTAGTCTTGCTCCCCAACTACCTGGTTATCCTTAGTTGTCTTCCTAATATATATCTCCTGTGCATGTAAGGCCCTAACTCATAGCAGATGCAGAGTGGCCGCTCAAAAACAGGCTTAATACATAGAAAACAGGGGACTCTTAGCTCATAATCAACTTCCAGAGCCCTGTCTCTCAGCTGTTCCAACTCCTGAGTTATTTTAGCGGTGTTGATTCTCCCTCAAAGGGTTCATGTAATTCACTTAGAGAAAGATGCCATGACTAGGAGGAAATAAATGCCTTGTTTTACTCATAAAGCCTCTTAATGGAAGACTTTTGAATGCTGCATTTTGAAACACAGCCACAAGATGGTGCACAAGGACAGTGTGTGTGCCTGTGCTCCCCTAGGCAGATCTTAACTGTGGCCTAGAAGGCTGACAGGAATTCTGTGAGCTCCCCAGTTGATATAATTTGTTCTTAGGTTCCTTCCTTTGCTGAGTGTTTTAGCTTGAAAGGCCTCTGTAGATATGAGAGTTGTTGAAGTCTCCTACTATTGTGTAAGGACCTATGTGACCTTTGGTTAATGTTGTTACTGTCTATTTCATGAAATTGTGGACCCCAAGATCCAGTACATAAATATTTGCAGTGGTTATATCCTCTTGATGAATGGTTCCCTTTATTAATATGTGGTTAATATTTTCTGAGTAGTTTTGATTTGAAGTCTACTTATTAGTATGGGAATCATGAATCCAACCTGTTTGTGGCTTCAATTTGCTTGGTAAGTTTACTTTTAACCTGTGACTCTTTAAATTTCTGGTTGTCTTTTCTAGTTATGTGAGTTTCTTGGGAGACAAGAGATAATTGAATTATTTTTAAAAATCTATTTAGTCCTCCTTGTGATGGCTATCTTAGTTGTCAACTTAACATAACCTGGGAAGAGAAATATCTCAGTTGAGAAACTGTCTCTATCAGAGTGGACTGAAAGAATGTAAGCGGGAACATTTTCTTGATTGAGAGTTGATGATAGGGCCAAGCCCACTGTGGGAAGTATCAGTCTTGGGCAGTTAAGTCTGAGATATATAAAAAAGGTAACTCTGTGGAAATCTAGGCGACAAACCAGTACTCAGAGTTCCTCCATTGCTTTCGCTTTAGTTCCTGTCTACAGGTTCCTGCCTCAAGTTTCTGCATGCTTCTCCTAGATAATGGATCATAACCTGTAAGCCAATAAAACCTTCCTTGCCTGGGTTGCTTTTGGTTAGCAACAGGAAACAACATAGGACAGGCTATGTATTTTCATTGGTAAGTGAAGGGCATTTCATTCAAGGTGCTGATGATGGTTTCTGCTGTTTTATTTTTTATTCTTTCCATAATTTAAAAATTTTTAATTTATGTACATTGGTGTTTTGCCTGCAGGTATGTCTATGTGATGGTATCGGGTACCCTGGAACTACAGTCAAAGACAATTGTGAACTGCCAGGTGGGTGCTGGGAATTGAACCCTGGTCCTCTGGAAGACAGCTAGTGTTCTTAACCACTGAGCTATTTTTTCAGCTATATAATTTGTTTTATTTTAAAGCACTCCAATTAGTGAAGGGTTTGCTATTACTAATGATTCTACTGGTTGTTGTTCTGGTTGGCTGATTTATTGCTAACTTTTCCTCTTTCTCCTGACAGCATTGGATACTTGATGGTTTGCTGTGTTAGACAAGATTAATTCTCTCCCAGCTCCCTAAATGCTTGTTTGTGCTCATATGAAATGTATTCTTTCCTATGTTCTAGTGGGTAAAACTATCTTTCTTATTCCTCTGGATGTACTATTCTTTTAAGGATTTTCTGTATTTCTGACTTAGCCTAAATTGCTTTAGCTTGTGTGTGCCAGCAGTCCCATTGTTAGCTTAGCTCTGTCTATTGGATACAGTAACAAGTTCCACTACAAACTTCCTGTGATTCACATAGGTCCCCCTTATTGTGGCATAGCAAGAGAACTGTTGAAATAACTATTGGCAAGCCAAAGGATTCAGGAGCCAATCTGGTACACCTAGGTAATATCAAGAGGGTATATTCCTTATATAACTATGAGAGAGTAATTTGAACATTGCCTCAGTAATAGATGGCATTAATTTTTATGTGTAAAATATAACTTTAAAAATCTTTACCATTACAAACTTACAATGAAACGTTTACATGGAAATGGTGTGCTATCTGGTGTTTGCTTCAGATTATAAAAGGAGAAAACAAACAAGGTACTAGGTACATAGTAAAAGCTGTGAGTTGATTCTTGTTTAAGGTGGCTACTGAGTATCTAGGAGTTCGTTATACATGTCTGTATTATGTTTAAAATTACTCATAATAAAAAGTTAAATTCATTTTCACTGTGGTCTGCTTCATCAAGTCTGTGGATTCCCACACATCACCATTCCCACCTCTTCAGAGAATGGTCCACAAAGTGAAATATATATGAAAAAGGGTGATGTATATAAAAACTAATCAAATAATTCATTGTCCAACTAAAAATATTAACTATAAGAGATAATTCCTACTATATATTATATATCTGAAGCCTAAATATACAATTCCAGAGATCAACAATTTGAGTGAAGCTATCATGTAGTAACACTCTTCCCATGCCATACTGATGTTTTACAGAAGCAGAAATTAATAGTGATATTTACCTTGACTGGATCCTGCTACAATAGCTCTATTTGAGTACTTAGGATGAGAAATGTCTGTTTCTAATCTTCCTTGCATAACTGTTTGATTTACAGACCTCCTGGCACCTAGATAAAAGACTGTAAATTTCTGCTGAATATCAAAACCAACTGGAAAGAGAAAAGATGCATGCAAATGTTTATTAAAACCATATTAAGTCTTTGCATGAGGCTATTTATTTCATTTTATATATCTTATTATTGTAGCACTAGAGATAGTACAGAAAATTAAAATATGATAAATGAAAACATATACATCTATTTTAATAACTTTAAAAAATTCTATAATTGAAATTTATCTTAGAAAACAAAGTTCAATAAATGAACAAAATTGCATTATGTTATCTAAATATATAACATAATTTCCCTTAATGTTTATTCATAGTAAGTATATTATTTTTACTATTTTTCTGTACCAGCTAACATAAAGGAAATATTTAAATGCTGTCACATTTTTGTATTGATATCTTTATTACTTCAACAAACTTACCATAATCAGAACTAATTAGATTTATGCTAAGATCTTCAGATATCAGAGCTCTCTTCACATCAATTTTCTTAGTCCAATTTCCACTTTTTAACAAAACAGAATCCCTGAAAAACAGTAATGTAAAATTTAACATGATCCAAACCCTAAATGAAATAATATATTTATTTCAAGAATGATCTTCAATAGTAGTAAACAACTACTGAAAACTACTTTCACCAAATTGTGAGGAAGAAGAATTAGTGTCAATGAAATTTTTGTCTGTTTGTTGTTTGCTCCTCAAACCTGCTAAGAAATGAGAATGATTGAACTACTGGTCCTCTTGCCTTCACCTCCCAGCACTGGGAATATTGGCATGAGCGACCACACAGGACAATGGAAGTAACTATTTTAGTAGTAGTTGATCCCAAACAGAAATATACAGTTGTTATTAATAAGACACAAGTTACTTCCTTAATGTGGTTTGCACAAGTTCAACAATCATTTAAATTGAGTTTTAAATAGTTTGTATTTAATATTGACACATAGAACAAGAAAAAAAATATTGAGCTTAGTCCATTCCCATGGTGCTCAGGAATAAGGATTAGTGCAATGGGGTGTTCTCCCTAAGTGTGCCAGGGCTAGCTGCAGGAGAGCAGTGCTGTGGGAAGAGCATCCTCCTCAGGATCCTCCTGTATCCTGACAATTAGCAGATCCCTGTGTAGTTTCTGCATTCCTAACTTAGCACTGTAGTAATACAATGAGTGTGAGAATGGCAGGGTCAATCTAGACTTTGCTATTAACTAGCTACGTGATGCTGACATGAACCTCTGTTTCAATTTTTTCCTCTACAAAATGTGAATTAAGATACCACCTATTTCATACAAATATTAAGTAATTCAGCATTTTGGGTCTACTAAGTACTAAGTACTTAAAAAGAACTAGCAATCACAAAAGAGTTTAGTTATGGCATTATGAGGGAAAAAAATGATATATAGAAAACATTGAAGTAAAAATTACAAAAGCCACACTAGAGAACTAGGCATATGGAGGGGCTCTTCCTTATATGGTTGATCTGATTGACTGTATCCTTCAATGGAATTACAGTAGCTGTGTACATGTTAATTTGGAGATAGACTCTGTAGGCAGAAGATATATTTTGAGTTGAGTAGAAGACTGTTTTCAAAGATTAAGGCCATAAAAGAAGAAAATCAGCAACATCAGAAGTGCCCCAGAGACCATCTGTTTCTTGTTATAAATCCCTCCATGGTGGCAGATTTTATAATTTCTTCATCTAGTTCTAAATAGAATGACCTAAAGCAACACACCTAAAGTTAGTGTTACACTTCCTTAACATACAAGTGGGAAACGTGCCCCATTATTACATCAGGGAATTGTAATTTAATTGATGATGTGATCTAATTATTGTATTGTATACTTAAAAGTTCAAGTTCAATATACTTAAAAATAAAATCTAGTAGGTATTTCATAATTACTTACATAATTTTGTGCTTAAAAATGACTTGATTATCTGCATCACCTATGATTAAGGTAGTATAGTGAGAGTCTGGTGCTGTTCTCTTAGTTTGCAGCTGTTCAAAGTTTCTTAATAGAATGGTCACTAGTATTTCCGCCTTGGCATCACTGTATCTTGCAATCTTCAAAAACAATAACAAGTATAAAATGCTTTAAAATAGTCTTACTTTCCCTACTCATCTCCAACTGTAGTCCTGGAAAGCATTGGTTTTGAAGAACAGAAGAATATTTAAGAAAGAGGACACTCACCTGCTCTACTTCAAGTCCATACTTTGGTAGATACATCACAGCTTCTTTTATCTGGGTCCCGAAAGGTGGGTGTCTACTTAAAATCTAAACATATTTATATCATCATACTCTAACCTAAACACTTAAGACTCTTATTAAAGTATTTCTTAGAAGTCACAAGTTTAATTAGGTTTATCACCCCAAACATCTGCAATTGAAATACTTATGACTATGAAGAAGAAAATATTAGTGTGTGTATGATGTAATTGGTCATGCTCATACATATCAAGTGTCTGCACAAATGTGAGGAGACCAGGGGTCCTCCATGGCTCATCACCTTTGTTTTTAGGATACAGAGTCTCATGGTACCTGGTGCCCACTGACTCCTCTAAAACATGAGAGTAAGTCTCGGGTCTTCCTGTTTCCACCTCCTAAGAGCTGGAGTTACAGGTGCTTCTAGGTTCAGTTTTTGACGTGGGCACTGAGCTCTGAACTTGGATCCTCAGGCTTATGTAACATGTACTTTACTGACAGAGCCATCTCCCACATGCAAATAAATAGTTTTAATAGAATGGAATAACAGTGGGGTTTGGGATGTAAATACAGTTCAGTAACATTGGGACCAGAGAATACTACATACCAGTTCAATTTCTCTTGCATTTGCTTCTTCTATTTTTTTAAAAGAAGTCAAACCTGCATTTACCATGGCATTTGACAATGATATGCCTGTGGAAAATTAACCAAAGAGTAATTATAAGCCATTTTATAATGAAATCAAAACTTAAGTAACTACATTAATAAACAATTTTAAAGCTGTGTGTGTACTTGGTGGTAGAGCACTTACCTAGCATTTGTATGACACTAGTGTCAATAATCCCCAGGGCTGCAAAAACTAACTGCTAATTAATTAATCCCTTTAAAAGCATTCGGTCAGATATGCTGTTGTTGTGGTTTGTGCACTGTGGTATGCGGCAGGCCTGAGCAAGTGGAGGGTGTCACTGGGGGGGGGGGGGCTCTGCCCTGCTTTGTGAACTTAAACTAATGTACTGGAACTGGGTGGGGCTGTACACAGCAAGCAGGTTCCAGGCAGGCATCTCCCCAGCCTTTGATTCCTGTCTTTCCATGTCACCTCTCCCACATGCACACCCTGCCATTTTGACACCATCCACTACAAGCCCCTCGCCAGTGAGAATCAGACGGCAATGTCATGCCCGTCCAGAAATGCAAGACAAATTACTTCTTTTCTTAAAAGTTCATAGCTTCCAATGTCTTATTTTTAATATTCAGACTTTTAATATAATTTATATATTTTGTAAAAGAAACAAAATCTTTCTGGTCTACATAATGACTCGGCCCTCAGTTTTACTGAATGTAAAGTATGGCACCCCTATGTCCTTACCTAAATTTTCAACTCTTCTAGGGAAATTCCCATACTCATTCTTCAGACACGGTCACCTCAGTGGTGAGAAGGGCTCACCGCCAAGCCTGCTGGCCTCAGTTTGATCCCTGGGATCCACATGGCAGAAGGAGAGAACTGACTCCATCAAGTTGTCCTCTGACCTCCACACATGCAGTGTGGTGTGTGTAAACCCCACACTCACATACACAAATACATAAATAAATGCAATTTAAAGAAAAGACAGCCTCTGGTATTTACAATCCCTTAACATTCATTTCTTTATATGGCAAACATTGATAGACTCATCCCTGAATTTTAAACAAAAGCCACATGATTCAAGATAGGAGTGTTCATGAAGCTGTGACTCGCTGAGCAGTTCTGTCTTAAAAAATAAAGGCCACTGTCTGTGTACCTAGCCTAGATAGTAACGGCTTATGTCTCTGCCCAGAACTTGATGTATTTAGAGTGAAGTTTCAACTTTGCCTCTGTAGCTAAATTCTCTTAACTGTACGGCTTGACCTAGCCAAACCACTTCCATCTAATTTCTTGTCCCTCTCCTCTTACTAAGTGCTCTCCAGTCACATTTGCTTTTATTTTGTTCCCTAAAGACATTAAGTTCATTTTATTTTTGGACTACTTCATTTGTTTATACTTTCAGAACCTATATTTTTAAATCCATATGTTTTATGATAAGCTTATACAAACCGTGCTTAAAAGGTACTTTAAGAATTGTGTGATTCCAAACAAGTCCTTACTTATCTGAAGTAAGCATTAATGATGAAGTGTGACAGACTCAACCCTTACTCTAACTTTCTTGGTCACACTTTCTAGTATAAACAACTCTTCCGTATTCCTTGTTTCTCTTAGACTTGATTTTCAGCACTACTTTCTCTTTTATGTTCATGGTACTGAGTCATGTGTGAAAAGACACTACTGTTTCTCAATCTGGAAAGACAGAATACAACAGATACCCAGGCTAACAGTTCTCCAGAAAGCCAAAGGAGTAACAAGCAGAATAAAACTTATTAGATGTCATTTAACTAATTTCAAAACGTTCAGAAAGATGCTGTTTTCTAAATGTTGTATGGAATATCCTGTCTCAGTTTAGAGTGCCTGCCTCTATAGATTACTAAGACATTTAGTTTGGGACTTCAGTGTGACAGTAATCTTCACCGTATTGACTAGATTAAGAAATACCAGGAGCAGCTGGACAATGGCTCTTCCAGGGGTTTCAATCCTCATCACCCACTTGGCTGCTCACAACCATCTGTAATTCCAGTTCCCGGGGATCCAGCACCCTTTTCTGTCCTCCAGGGGGCATAAAATGTATATAGTACACAGATAGACATACAAGTAAAACACTCCAAACACACAAAATAATAAAATGAAATAAAAAACCACCTAGGAAACACATCTATGGGCCTGTCCACAAGGATAATTCCAGAGAAGTGTAACTGAAGAAGGAAGACCACTCTGAATGTATGCAGTGATCCTGTCACATAGGCCAGGATCCTGAACTAAATAAAAAAGGGGGGTGGGAGAAGCAAGTACAAGAGGCACCAGCATCTACAATGTGAGCAGATGCAATGTGCAACCATTTCCTGATTGTAGATACAACATGAGTAGCCACACTACATTCCCCACACACCTGCTGCCATGCCTTGCCCCTGTGATGGCTTTTATCCCATCAAACCATGAGCCTAAACAAATTCTTCCTTTCTCAAGTTGCTGTTGGCGGTTATTTGGCCACAGCAATGAGGTAAGTAGCTAAGGCCCAGAATCTCCCAATGGGAAATTCTACTCTATTTCCATCTTACGCCACCAAGTAATCCCATCATTCTCCTAGTTCCCAGGGATTTTGGGCCGGTTCTCTGTCACCCTCCTTGACTTTGAATGTCATAGAAAGTAGGGCTTGCAGAGCATGGCAGCTCACCCTTTTAATGCCAGCACTGAAGAGGCAGAGGCAGGCAGATTTTTGTGAATCAGAGGCCAGCCTGGTCTATGGAGTAAAGGTACAGATGAACTAGAGTTTTATAGTAAGAGCTTGTTTCACAAAAGGATTAGAAAAGTCAGATGGAGACCTTCATTCAAATGACAAAGCTGTGGATAGAGGGATGTTAAGTGTTAAAAGCAGGCACTGCTCTTCTAGAGACCTGAGTTTGGTTCCCAGCACCCACATGGCAGCTCATGACCACCTGTAACTCCAGCTCTAGGTATCTGGTACTCTCTTCTGTGATTGGTGGGTATGTGTGCATGTGCACATAAAGTTTTAGTTTGGTTAGGTTTTGTTTTTTTTTTGTTTTTTTTTTGTTTTTTTTTTGAGGTTTTTCGAGGTAAGATTACTGTGTGGCCTGGCTGTCCTCTAACGAGTGACAGGTTTGAAGGCATGCACCACATTGCTCAGCCCTTTGGTTGGTTTTGAGACAGTGTCTCAGGTTTTAGTAGCCCGGACTGTCCTTAAACTTACTACATAATCAATGCTGGCCTTGAGCTCCCGGTCCTTTGGCCCCTGTATCCTCAATGCTCAGATTATAGGAGTGCACTCCCACACCCAGCTTCCATTATATACATTTTAATCTCCCTAGGACACATATAACATCACAAAACTAATGAGGCTGTCAATCTTGGGATAATAACTTTTTTTTTTTTTAATGACATCACTTATTTAGGAAGTAGGGTCACAAAGTCAAGATAAGAAACTGGAAAAACACCAGAATTCTTCACTCTGATCCAGTTTTTATGACTGGCACATTGTAGCATTTTACAGTGGGTTCTAACAGAAAGTCAGGAACAACCTTCCTGCAGAAATGCTAATTTTAGCACTAATATCCTGCTGTTACTTAAAACAGAAATAACCAGGATACAAATAAATGGCAAAATTTTCTAGAGTACATGAGATCCTGGGTCTGATCCTCAAAGTTATATATCTTGTCATTAAAGACACAGTAAATTATTAGTCACAGAAGTGAGAGAAATATCACACAGTTAACCAATTACTAAAACAAAGTTCACTGTCAATATAAAAACAAGTTTCAAAAGGAGAACTTCAAAATTAGATTTCTCATGTATTTTTGCATTTGATTTAATTATTCAGTTGGTTTATAATAATTGATTGTTGTTTTGTTTTGTTTTGGGTTTTGGTTTTTTGGGACAGGGTTTCTATGTGTAACTGTCTGAGCTGTCCTGGAACTCACTCTATAGACCAGGCTGGCCTTGAACTCTCTGAGATCCACCTGCCTCTGCCTCCCAGGTATTGGGACTAAAGGAGTGCACCACTCCTGCCCAGCATAATTGATTGTTTTGCATTTGTTTATTTACTTGTTTGTATATGTGAGTGTGAGACACACAGGTGGGGGTCAGAGGAGCAGACTCTCTCTTTGTACCACGTGGGTTTGAAGAACTGAACTCGGGTCATCGGATTTGGCAGCAAGCACCTTTACCCAGAAGCCACCCTCTCTCACAGGTAATCATTGAAGCAGGAACAAATAAAACTCTGGTTTTCAAATATAAGTATAGTACTTTATAAAAGCATATTTTCCTTAAAAGTCTATAATCATCATAAAATAATATTATTAATAGTAAAATGTAAAAGAAATTACAGACGATGACAGCCTGTCTGTCTTGAGTACCTACCAATTTTATCCAGCTGTTTAGATACATGTCGAGAGTTTTCCCAGAGCTTACATTTAAAACATTTAGTTAAAATCACACTGTTTAAAAGCACAGCAAACTTCTTTTCCTGGGAAGCCACAAAGTCTGACAACCCTAAAAAAAATTCCAATATTAATTATAGTATATTAATTTGCTGGGAAGAAAGTTGAAAATCCATTAGTGAGCTAACATACATCTTGCAATTCGTGAGCCATTTCTGAAAATCTTCGAAGTATCTTGTGTCAAAGTAAAATCTTGTATAGGAATGCATCCCAGTTGCGCCTGAATAAGACTGGGAAAACATAACTCATTAAAGATCACATGCACAGGACTACCTACACATGACTGACTGAGGTATTCCATAGGATTTCTGAGCTTTGGTCTGTATCTTTTGACTTCCTTTTCCCAACCTCAAAAGTTCAGTTCTTGTCATCTTCTTTATACTTTTTATTCAGTCGACTTCTCCCTGTCTCAGAAGTCTCAAAAATCTTTAGCAAACAATGAATGAAGTGTACTGGATGAGGTGATTTTAAATGCTGTATGAAGGTCCTTGTGAAGCTGTCTATCAATAGACACACAAATGTAGGATATGTGTAAAATTACTGGAGCAAATTGCTTTTAAAGTAATATTTACATTTAATAATCATATTTTATCATTAAATAGAACACTTCTCAAAATCATATTTTCATGTTGGAAACCCTATCATAACCAGCAACAATAAAGCAGGAGTGGGAGGGAGGGAGGTAGAGAGAGATGGATCTCTATGAGTTCAAGGCCAGCCTGGTCTACAAGATATCCAGGGCTACACAGAGAGACCCTGTCTCCAAAGAAAAACATAAACAGCAATGCTACATGAATTTAGTTTCCTGTGTTGTCTTCAGTAGAAAAGGAAATCTCAGACTCTCCAGCAAGGTGGTGCCCCTGCCATTTCAGGAAATGGAGGTGCATGGCAGTTAAGTAACGACTAACTCGGGGTGATTATATGGATTAATTGGGATAAAATGTTGATTCAGTGAGGACTAATTTCCACATACCAAACCATATTGGTTTTAGTAAAAATGGTTATAAAATTAGTCTGTGTATAGTTCCATGTCATATCCCAGAAGTCCACTGAACAAAATACCCCAGTTAAAGAAAGTAACTAGGGCTGAAGAGGGAAGGTTTAGCAACCAAAGCTGTGAAATAGAGGGATTAAATGTCTAGAAACTTACAGTACAACATTTCAAAAATAACAGAATTATCATCTACTTAGTGAACAGATCTGAAATTCAGCAAAGTAAGGGATGTAAGAAAGCAAGTGGTACAGTTAGACATGAGCATCTATTGAACACATGTATAAAAACTTCGAATTAGGAGAAGATATTACCACACATATACACACTCTTTCCTTGGCTATACTCTACTCAAGTAAGATGTACAAAGTTAGAAATACACACACACACACACACACACACACACACACACACACACACACTCACACATTATGACATGTGTGAAACTAATTATTAAAGTCACTAACTTTTAAGTTCATTGCCTCCCATGTCTAACTTAAGGCAGGGTTGATAGAAGTACTTCAAATACAAATAAAGTATTCTACAGCTGTCTGTGGGAAAAAAATCTTGATTTGACTTAGTAATTGATGCAACTGAGTATGCTCAGAAAAACACCAAGTCAAGAGCTCTAGTTGTAGCCTTAGCTTCCCATGTAACAAGGTACTTAGCCAAGCCATTGCTTATCTGAATGCCATTTCATTTGGGCAATAACAAGACTGGGCCATATATATATGATTTCTAAGGTCTCTGAAGGTGTCTGAATTGCTACAGAAATATAGCTAATAAACCACATTAACTTCTCCAAGCCTAGATTTGCATGAAGAATTGCAGCGAGAAGACTGCTTTATGAGTATCTGGGAGACAAAAATGACTAAGATGTTGAAAACTATCCTAAAGAATGATCTCCCCTAGTTAAAGAAGAAAAGATTCCTGAATTAACTGGCTTGGTGGCACACACCTTTTATTCTAGCACTTGGGAGACTGAGGCAAGCAGCTCTCTGTAGGTACAAGACCAGCCAAGGATACATAGAAAGGTTCAGTCTCAAAACAAAAACATAAACAAAACGAACAAACAACAAACTTTTTACCTTGAGTCATGTCAATTAAATCAAAAGATCTAAGTATCAAGGCCTAAATACCCAGGAAATCACTTTTCATAACAGAAAAGTAAATCTTTGCATTTATGATTATAAACTGAGCACAAGTCAGAGGTGACAGTGTGCCTGTTTATAAATCCAGTAATTCTTCTATATAAACTCTCCAGTCTTAACAGAATAGTTATCTGCTCATATGTGTACTCATGTGCTTGGGGATTTTCTTTTACTACTTTTCTCTCCTAGAATTCCATTAATACTGAGTCTGCATTTGCTAATTGTGCGCTAGTGTTGACAGTTATTTTCATGCCTGTTTCACTCATGCTAACTTGGAAGACACTGGTAAGCACAAGCACAGGCTCTCTGTCGTCTTCTTTGTCTCCCCAGAACATACCGTCAACAAGTGATCTGTCTAATTAAAAGTTTGTTCTTTCATCTCTTCCTTTACACCTCTGCCTTTCCTCCCCTCCTTCTCTCTCCCTTCTGCTTCCTGTCCATAATAGTGGGCTGAAGGTAGGGCCTTGTGCACACCCAGGCAAGCACTCTACTACAAGACTCACAATTTATTTTAACTAAAGTTCTTGGAAGTTAATCTCACATATACATTATGATTCCTTAGTTTCCTACAGACACGCTATTTTCTACATTACAGAAAATACATTTTAAAACCGAAGATGAAACTGGGCATGGCTGCTCACACGAACAACCCCAGCACACGGGAGGCTGCAACCCCGGCACATGGGAGGCCACCGTAGAAAACTGTAGGTTTTGAGACCAGCTGGGACTATATGGGGACTTTACCTCAAAAAAGGGGGTGGGTAAGAGGAAAACCCTCACCCGTGAAAATCATGAACGGGTAGGCAGTGTTTTAGGACATGAAAAAAAATAAACTTTTATTACCAGTTTACTTTCATTTCTCTTGTTCTAATTCTCCCTTCCATGGGAAATCTGTGAATAAAAACACATGGAGAACTTTCATTATTTAACTAAATAACAGCCCTGTAGTTAAATAAAGTATATGTAATTTCTAACCTGATGGCTATTTTGTTTGGGTCTTTGTTTAAAGTATTCAGAGTTCTCTTCTCGTTTATCCTCAGCTGCACATCTAGAAACTCATTGCAGCTGGCTATCATGGAAATCTATAAAATTTAAGCATTTGACAATTTAACAAATTACATTTCATACTTTTTTCTTACTCCCTTCCTCTGAATTTCCTTATTTTTCAAGCTGCCCAGGAGTACCCTGGCTTTGTTCATTTGCAAAGCAGAATCTATATAGACAGCTTCATACATCTTACTTCTTTAATATTCAATCACTAACAACCACTTAGAAGCTTCTGTATGCTAGACATTGTGACATATAATGTGAGCAGCCATTAGGATGATACCAGTAAGATGACAATGAACAAGGTCAAACGTATTCTATTTAGTGCAGTGAGAGGCACCCCGTGTATGCTGCTCTTCTTACTGTTGCTACTACTGTTCATCCTTCTGAAGTTTGCAAATTGCCATTCCAATAACTTAGTAATGGACAGATGCTTTAAATACTAAGAAATCTGGGTTTGTAGACTGGTTCTGGGAGATAGAACTAACAGTTCTAAATCTTTCACATGATACACTCAGCTAGATGTACTGACACTGAATAATTTGTTAATCTTGACCTCTTCTTAGAGAAGAGTAACAGTTACATGGAATTACAAACCTTTTACTTCATCAAAGTTTGCTCACATGGCTCCTTAACCATACCCAGATTTTTTACGGTGCAGTCTTTACTATAGTAATCTTATTGTGATATCTAATTGATAATTAGAAGTGCATGGTTTAAAATTGAGAATGAATATCTTCTACCAGTCTCTTATTCTGTACTCAGGTCTCCTGCAAAGAGGGAAGGGACACTGCATTTCTTCATTCCCAGCACAACGCCTGTGGTCTGTTCATTGCTGTAGCTGAAAAACTGTTCCTGCTGCTGATTTTAAAGCACAATCTATTTATTGATGTGGCAATATTTTATTTATTATTATTAAAGTTTGCCTGAGGATTCAGGAAAGTAGCATCAGCCACAAGTCATAGAAACCAGACACACACCTTTAATCCCAGCAGCCAGACTCTAGGAGGTGGTAGTACACCTTTAATCCTAGGACTCAGGATTAAGATGTAGACAGATTTCTTTGAGATATAGACAGATTTCTTTGAGTTCACCCAGATCTACACAAGATTGATCCAGTTCTAAAGAGAAACACTTCACACAAAGATGATCTCAGCACCTGGGATCACATGCTTTTAATCCCAGCATTAGGGAGGTATGTAAAACTGGATCAACGTCTCAGTATCAGGCATTTATTCCATTTATTCTCCAGCCACATTTATGATAGGAAGACATTGAAGTCTCAAGATTCTCTAGTCACTCTGAGGAGAGGCAGCAGTCTAAGTTTTGGTGGAGCCAGGATCACATTTCGGTCTGAGGTAAAATAAGAGCTAGTGGCTAGCTGCTTTACTACTCTGATCTTCAGCTTGAAGCTTGAACCTCAATATCAGTCTCTGGCTCTTTTATTTTTCGTGCTACATGTTGGTCTCTCTTTCTCCAAAATCAGTTCTTTTTTTCTGGACCACCAAATACCATTCTATTTCCACTGTTACAGCTGGGCTTAGGCAAATGATTTGGGGGAGGGATGCAGACAGGGCACCATGGCAACATGCTGTCATTCATTCATGGCAGATTTTGCAAACGTATCCTCTTATACTCTCTTGGAATATTTCTCACACATTATATTTGGAAAGCACTCTTGAAGTAATCGTCATTACCAAGGAAATTATAAGTTGTGAAACAGTAGCCACAGCTATTTGTATATATATTTTCTTAGATTTGATAGGAAACACAAATGAAAAGATGATGTATTCTTAGGAGATATATTCCCTATCTCATGATCAAAGGGAGACATAACCCTTAAAGTGACTTTCCTTTTGCTAATTTAATTTTAAATTATAGGAGATATATAAATCAGTTGTCTCTCCAATATTATTTTTATCCTACAATTATTAATTTCTAATGAAAACTTACTAAGTCTGATAAAGTTTCTTTTCCACTGATTGCATAAAATTTCTTCACTGTCTCGAATGTAATATAATACCAAGCCATTAGTCTTCCTGCCTCTGTTAGAAAAGATGGAAAAATAAACAATTCCACATTAGGTGATACAACTTGCTTTTTAAGAAATAGTTAAACAAGCATTTCCTTAACATCTACTCAATGGACATGTGTGCTTGAAATGACCCCTAAGCAAAGATACCCCCAAGATATATAAACACAATCTATGGACCTTAAAGGTTGGCTGAAGATAAAACCACAGGTAAGATAAAAAACAAAATCCTTTGAATGATAATATTTACATACAAGCTGAAGTAGAGAAGAAATTAACCCTAGGTGTACGGTCAGTATGGGATGACCTAATAGGAAAAATGAGTTTTAAACAAAGTTTGTTTGAAACAAAGTGACTAATATGACTTGACTGAGAGGAAACAAAGCCAATATGACCTTGGGAAAATGAAGATTTACTTATCAAAGTGGAAAAATTAAGAAGAACATCTTTAGAATACTTTGGAAAGGTATATGGCTTGATGATGACTCTGAGTTCCAGTCAGATGACCTGGCACAAGTCTCCATTCAGTACATGTTAGAAGATGACGTGTGTATTTCTTAATGAATCTCAGAACTTGGTGGTAGTGCCTAGTGCTTAGTACATGGTGCCTAATTTTTATAACTAAGACATGATGAATAATAAACTAGCAGGACCTCAAGGAGCTTTTAAGGCTATTCAAAGGAGTTCAGAATTTGGATCAGATCTGTAAAGTAACAGGACCACTTACAATTCTTGAGCAATATTTTTTGCTTAATTAGCAGATGGTTGGGAGGAGGGGGATGAGCAAAGCAGGGATGATGATGGGATGAGATGGGATGAAATTCATTTCAGAGGCTATACGATCTAATTATCAGTTGTCCGAAAGCACCTCAAAGATTCAGTCCTTACAAACATACGAAGTGTCATACCTAGTCTCAGGAGAATGTCTAGTATTATATATGAACCACAAATTCTCTCAAAGAAAGGAATATTTTTTGGCATGTCAACAGAGTGATAGGCATTGAGAACCTCATAAAAAGGCCAGCTAGTCACTGTCCCAACAAGCAGCCTGCTGCATGTGTGCAATGAGAATGCAGGTAACCCAATGTGTCTGTCGGGAAGAGGGCGTCTGAAAGAACAGTGTGACCACAAGAATATGGTTATTGGGAATATATTTTAAAATGGTCCTTTCACCATCTGTTCAAGAATTAATATAAAGTACCTCCCTACTACAAGATATAAAAAAAAATCTTAAGAAAAACATTTCATTTTGGTAGGTTTATTAATTGGAATGAAGGTTCTAAGGTAAGAAAAGAACAATCTAGAGAAGAAACCATGAAGAAAATAATCCAAAATCTAAGTATGAAAACAAAATGGAAACGCTACTTGCTGCTAATCTAGTTATCAATGGGTAATAATAATGCAAAATTTTAGCCTTAGAAAGCGTTAAATTCATGGACATCGTAAGAAAAAGTACCTGTTGGTTTGAAATAAACATCTTCATCCATCTTTATCAAGTCTAGTGATGATAAATCTTTCAGATTCTTCAAGCATAATTCTGTTCAAGTATAGAAAACACACTTTAAGTTCAGTAAAATAAGGAAGGAAAAAAATAGAAATTTACTATTAAATATGCTAAAGATGTGTGCTATGGCATAACTGTTCTGAAAGGATTGGAGTCTTAAAAAGCAAGAAAAAAACCACACCAATACACATAAAAAACTTGAAATATAACATTCAATTAATATGCTAAGTACCACTCAGCACTTGGAACATTTGAAATGATATTAAAATATTTCATATACACATTAGGAAACTAAATATTTGAAGCTGAATAGCTTGCTTCAGGTCTAAGGAACTGCTTTGCTAGCTGTTCTCCATCATGAATTTTTTTCTTTTAAACTTTGTTTTTCAAGATGGGATTTCTCTGTGTAGTCTTGGCTGTCCTGGAACTCACCCTGTAGACCAGTCTGGCCTAGAACTTACAGAGATCTACCTGCCTCTGTCTCGAGTGCTAGGATTAAAGGTGTGCAGCGTCACTGCCTGGCTACTCCTTTAAACGTTTATCAAAGATATAATAGCACAAAATGATACTGGCTGATACCAGGATTAAAGGGCACCTCCTGAGGGGGTCTCAGGTTCTTGTGTTCCACATCAAAGAAATGCACAGAATTGTGCAGATAGGAGCAAGAAAAGTTACAGAACTTAAGATAAACTTTCAAGGAGGAAGCAGGCTGGAGCAGGAAGCTCCATTGCCTGATTTCACAGAGGATTAGGGGTGTCTGCCTCATCTGCACAGTGGAACCCAGGGCGTGCTCTATATGTTGCATGCAGTTGTACATACAACTTCATTCATGACATGCCTCATTAACATCTTAACTCTCTACCCAGAGTATGTTAGCATCATGAGCCTTGAGTGCCTCTGAGCCAGGGACAATGATTTGAGGCAACTGCAGCTGGCCTCAGCAGAAAGGGCCTTACTGCTTTCCTTTTTGCCAACCTCATTGTTCAGAGCTGCCTTTATAAGGTTTTATACAAGATTTACAGACCTCACTTACAGCCCATTCTCTTGCTTCAGAAGTATAGAGTCAAAGAGTTTATTAAATTTGTTCTTACTCCAGAGGAGTCCTACTCCATATCCAGGGGAAGAAATGGTACACAGAGAGGCCAAGAAAACTCCAAGCACTATGCTTATTAACATGAGTAACAGATAGTCTTTTTACTCAGTCATGCAACATCACAGCTATCTACTTCTTATATCAAACACCAAAAAAGCACAATCTCCCCTAGGTCTTGAGGTCTTCATTTCCAAAAGCCCTTATAACATGTAAAACTTGCATTAAAAAATTTACTAAGCTTCAATCTTTTGTTATGAGGTATTTTCCATGGGACTTGCAATGAATGAGAAACAAAGAAAATATTTTCCTCTCCTATAGCCCACAGCTTATTACATATACAATAAACAATACTCATTGTATGAATTAACAATGGAAAATAAGGCAAACATTAATAGTGATTGTGCTACTTAACAGAAAATTAAACATTAAAGTTATCAGAATAGAGAAAGACATACTCTTACCTATCTGATTTCTTATGTGCAATTTATCATTATCATTAATTTAGTTTCAAATCTTCAATTACAAAATGGTACAAGAGAATAATACAACTATTTTATAAATATATTTTAACAGCAACATGATAAATATATGAGACTATCACCATGTTAAATAACATATTTATTCCTTTTTTGTTGTTTTGAGATAGGGTCTCACTATGTAGGACTGTCTGTCTGGAACTCACAATGTAGAACAGGCTGGCCTCACATTTACCATCGTCCTCCTTCATCTTCTTGAGTACTAAGATTACAAGTATAAATACCACACAAAGCAACATATTTATTCTTTAAGTCAGACAATTTATTACTTTATCCTTATCTGCATTTTTTATTTGTCACATACAAATATTCAGAGAATAAATTAAAATATTTTAGTGACAGTCTCACCACAGTGAAGACACAGTAATGTTAAATCCTAATAAGTACTTATTGGATTTTTACAGTTAAAGACAGGTAATAAAATATTAATGTTAAAAAGGTTGAAATTTGAAAAGGAAATATTACACAGACTGTCATGAGAACAGCACAACAAATCTAGGATGACATTTTCAATTAAAAAGGAAAATAAAGTGCAATGTTTTCAAAAACCATGGTCATTTTCGAAACAAAAACCTCACAGTAAGCTAACTTATTATATAAGGGCAGATATTCTGATAAAATTAATCAATATAGAAAAGCTGTGTATGAAGAATGAACAATTTAGTATTTTTCTCCAGATAAGTTTACTTTTAAAAATAATGTATGTATCCTTATTTCTTTAGTAACTGACATTTTCCTCAAAATTTATACAACATATATATATATAGAGAGAGAATGAGAAGGAAATACATCTGACCTTGTAATTTTGCCTCAATTCCATCTTTGTTCAGTCCAGATGCAAAACCTGTGTAAATCATGGAACTTTATTTTAGAAACCAGAGTGTACTTAATTTGTTTTTATAGGTTCAATTTAAACTTGACATAAAGAAGAGCATCTACATTTCAAATAGATTAATAACAGTTTGATGAGCTCAAAGAGGCTTAGCTATTCATAGAACATAACCACTCTTTTAAAATCTTTTCACTATCAACTGTCTATATTTTGTTTTATAAACTGTAATATTTCATCAATAGTTCAACAAACCTATATAGAATCAGTTTTAAAGATCTATTTTTATTATTTTTAATTATATGTATGTGTATTTGTATGGGGATAAGTGCACTTGAGGCAGGTGTACATAGTCAAAATTTGGAAATGATATATTTTTCCATCCACAAAATAGTTGATTAAACTGTGATATATTAATACAACTGGGATTATACTGTAATAGCAAAGTAATTATTGCTAATAGACTCAATTATATGAAGTTAAAAGAAACTGAAGATAGGCAGTAGTAGGAAGAGTCTTTAATCCCAGCACTCAGGAGGCAGAGTCAGACAGACCTCTGTGAGTTTGAGGCCAGCCTGGTTTACAGAGTGAGTTCCAAAACAGAGCCTATACACAGAGAAACTCTTGTTTTGAAAAGGGGGTGAGAAAAGAAGAAGAAAATAAACTGAAGTCAGAAAGCAAATACTTCCATTCACCTCAGGTTCAAGACATAACAACGAACACACAGGGACTTGCGGAAAACTTCTATATACTGAGCTGGATTGTGATTACATGTGGGTGTCTGTCTATATGTATATATTTAATTGTCTTTTATATCTAAGATTTTGTGCCATTCACCATGATAATGCAATATCAAAAACTCACTATAAAAATAAATTACTCATGAGAAGAATTGTAAATTAAGACATATATGAATCTGAAATGAGACTGATAAAAAGACACAAATATATACCCTGCAGGGCTTTGTGAATACAGTACTCTCAGCCACTGCTGACAACTATGTAAGCCACTAAGGACAGTAACTTAGCAACGGCTATCACATTTTAAAATGTATGTAACCTCTTACCTAGAAACTCCATTTCTAAGAATTTAGCATGCAAATGAATTCACATATGTGAAAATACATTATTGATAATAGCAGATAATTTTTAAGGTGAATATGTTAATCAAGTGGAACTGTTTATAAATGATACATGGGGCTGGTTGAGAGCTCATCTGCTCTTGCAAAGGTCTGAGTTTGGTTCCCAGCACCCGTGTCAGCAGCTCACAACTGCCTGTAACTCTAACTCCAGGGGATCTGATGCCCTGTTCTGGGTTGTGCATACAGAGCTCAGGCCCCATACACAAACATAAAAATATATACAGATAAAATGGAATAATATTATTAGCTATTTTAAAGGCTTCCAAGTCAGCATGGAAGTTCCCCCCAAAAACAAACAAGAGGCTAGAGAGATGGCTCTTCACTTAAGAATGCTTGCTAGCCAGTCTGTGTCGGCTCACACCTTTAATCCCAGCACTTGGGAGGCAGGGGCAAGCAGATCTCTGTGAGTTTGGGCCAGTCCGGTGTACAGAGTGAGTTCCAGGGCAGCCAGGGCCACACAGGGAAACCCTGTCTCAAAAAACAAACCAAAACAACAAAAAAGAACGCCTGCTGTTCAGTCATGAGAACTAGAATTTGGATCCCAGTATCTACATAACAAGCTGAGCATCCTACACAAGCTCATAAATACAGCTCCAAGGGAGGTGGGGTCAAGGAGGACTGGGGCTTCCTATCTTCCAGACTAGGTGAGAAAGCACGAGCTGCAGGTTCAGTTAGAGGCCCTAGGTCAAAGAAGGACAAAGAGTAAGAGAGGAGAAGGTCCGACAGTCTCTTCTAACCTCCACTAATGAATACAGGTGAACTCACCCCTACCCACTTATACATGTATACTCACACAGACACATATGCACAAAAATATATGAAAGTCTTTAAGTAAAACAGAATTATGATGACCAGTTTTACCACTCCTAGGTAAATATACAAAGGACTCTTAGTCAACATATACAGAGATACATGCCCACCCATGTATATTGCTGCATTCATCACAATAGAAAAAAAAAATGGGATGAGCCTAAATGTTCATCATCAGGTGAATACATAAAAAATTATGGTAATATTTACACTGGATTTTTCCATGAGATAATAAATGTTGGCTGTTTCAAGATGTTATATTTTAAGTAAACTGTTTCAAAAACAAATACAAAGGGGCATTGTTTGTATTTTAAAAATGAAAAATAAAATTATACCCTATTTGCTTTTATTATTTGCTCTGTGTTCTTATAAACTGAAAAATGAATAGCCACAAATTTAGAACAAGAGAGCAGCTGAATGGTAAACATGAAAAAGATGTAAAACTTCAAAGCTTTAACTTATTTTAAGTTAGTTTAGGTACTTAATTAAGGTTCTTTTTCATTGAGTCTATTTTAACAGTGTCCATTAAACATTAAAAGACTAGGTGTAGAGAAGACAGTGTGCCCTCATTTTTGTCCACTCTGGCCTCTGAATACACCAGTCACTGCTACTATTTTTCCTGTTGCTTACTAGTTTCTGCAATCTATTCTCTAAAAGTATAAATAGAAACCCAGCGGGTTTGAAAACAATCACTGTATTTCCAGATCCGAGTCACAAACCATAATGAGATGGGTTTTTCAGAGCTCTGATGTATAGTAAGGTTGATCGGATCCAGTCCAGAGCAACGCTCACATCTGTGATGGTATGCAGCACTATCTCTGCATTTAAATGTTCAATGAGATGTCTGTGCAAACTAGTGGAGGAAAAAACAGTGTTACTAATGTGAACCTCAAGAACACCAACCTTACTTTTTAAACTTTAATAATATATAATATGCAAGTTGATACTTTAACAACTCATGAAAAATAATTTTCAAAAATACAAGATAAAAATCTTAAAAAGCCAGTTCAACATCTTAAAATAATGAGATTTTTTTTCCTTCATAGTTCTAGAAGTTACATTTTTGTATAAGAAAGTCAGTATGGTTATAGTAGTGTGGATTATGTACTATTTTTCACCCAAAGAAGAGTACTTAAGACATACTAAAAACAATTTCAAACATTCATATATTCTCTCACTATAAAACAAAGTTTAAGCTGTGAAAATATTTCTTACTAAAAGTGAATAATTATACATTTAATACTCATAAGTGATAATACAATGATAGTAAGACCTTATTGCCTTTTAGGACTTTATAATAAAGATATATACTATTGTGTATTGTGTATTAACCATCACCAAATAAAACTTTGTTGTCTTTAAATAAATCCATTTAATTCCTATAATGACATGTTTTATAGTTAAATCATTAAGACTATTCCAAGAAAACAGCCTTAGAAAATCCCCAAACCAAACTTCCTTCCCTAAAGGAAAAAACAAGTCATATGAATTTTCTTTTTGAACTGTTCTTTGTTACCTGCTTTCCACAGTGTCGTTACAAGCTAACATCTGAATGTACTTCTCTCTTGTACTTAATCTGGTCATAATAACAGCAGTAGCTGTAGTGTCAAACTGGAACAGTACCAAAGCACAGATATTAGCAAAGACTAGAATATGTTACAGGGCTGAGCCTTTCCATCAGAACTTCCATTTCACACTCAATGGTTCCTTGACTTACTTAAATAGTAGGCCAAAGGAACTAAAATCTGCTTATGAATTGTAATACTAATAAAAAATTCAATTAAAAAATCTTCCAAGAGTATAACTGCAAATACCACTTTCATTTCAATATTACATAATTTTGACAGTGTTAATGTCAAAACCTGTAAACTGAATTAAAAACATGTTTTAGTGTAGTTTCCATATATGCTAGCTAGTTTTATGTCAACTTGACACAAGCGAAAGTCATCTGAGAGGAGGGACCCTCAATTAGGAAAATGCCTCCACAGGACTGGACTTAGGCAATCCTGTGGGGCATTTTTTATTTAGTGATTGATGGGGGAAGAGTCCAGTCCATTGTGGGTGGTGCCAGTAAGCAGCACCCTCCATGTCCTCTGCATCAGCTCCTGCCTTCAGGTTCCTGCCCTGCTGAGTTCCTGTCCTGACTCCTTGTTGATAGACTGTGATGTGGAAGTGTGAGCCCAAATGAGCCCTTTCCTCACCAAGCTGCTTTTTTTGATCATAGTGTTTTATTGCAACAATTGTAACACTAACTAGGATACCACATAATTTGATTATTTAATTCATCCTCTAAAATTAAAACCTTGCATGACATAACATTTTGATACTTTGAAAATGATACTTTTTCCAGAATTTCTCTAAGTATCTAAACAAATGACTTCCTCATTCAAGCCCTTGTGACATATTTTGTGATAAATATGGACTGAATTTTAATTATAATATTTAGTGCTACAACCATGGGATGTTACATGTTTGGAGGTACACAACAGTCCTTCACAAGGAAAAAGTGCCCATCCCAGTACCAGGACTAGACATGTGGCATATGCTTGTAATCTCAGTATTTAGGAGGCAAATCCAGAAAGGTGGTAAGTTTGAGACCAGCCTAGGCTACATATAGAGATCCAGTTTCTAAAATAAACACACGTAAAAATGACAAGACATCTTTACTCAGAATAGAAATAAGATGAAAAATCCCTTTAAATTCCTTTACCAGCAACTTGCACATCCACCCTTTCATTCAGACAGTAGTTTAGACAGGGTTGCAGTGGAAGAGTACATTAAACTTATAATCTCAGTTGATGAGTCTTTTTATGTTTAGTTGATTTTTAAATTACATTATTTTTCAATCTAATTATGAAATGCAAATAAAAGACACACAACTCCCTTTTATGCTATATTTAGAAGGTTAAAAGGGAAAGCTAGTGTCCCTTACCTGAGGTCTGCCAGCTCTCCCAATCATCTGCAGAATGTCTGTCTCACTGTACTCCTCAAACATGCCTCCAGTGTAGTGCATCGTAGACTTTATAACTACCAAGTGAGCTGGCAAGTTCACGCCCATAGCTAGAGTACTGGTAGTAACTGTCAAATTGAAGAATAATCAAGCCATATAACTTTATTATTCTGGAAACATACTTTCTTATAAAATACATACTGATATAAATGGAATAAAAACTCTAAGAAATTTATAAAAAAAAGGAATAGAGGACCTTATAATCTAAAATAATAATATACCCTAATAATAAAATAACTTAAGATCTTTCCAAATTACACTATGTATGTTCAGTAAAATGATACAGAATTAAACTTTGCCAAAGAGTTTAATGTAATAGATATATTTACAGTTCTTTTTTTTAGTTCTTAGAAGAAATTAATCAGATATATACAAAAAAATATGTTTTACTTACAAAGAACTGGGAGATCTCCAGAAGTAAACAGTCCTTCAACCAGTTTCCTATCTGACAGTTCCATCCCAGCATGGTGATAACCAACACCATACACCAAGACATCTGCAGCAGGAATACACCACCTGTCACCACTGCCCCCCACCTCACTAGTACTGACCCTTCTATCTATATTTAAACATGCTATTCAAAAGTTATGTCTAGGTTGGAGGTGTGGGTCTGTGGTAGAATGTTTGGTCTGGCATGCCTGAGGCTCCAAGTTATTTCCAGGACAAAAAAGAAAATTGTCTTTAAACCTACCTTTTAATTTTGAATCTCTTATAGAATATGCAGACTTCTGTAATCTATTAAAATATGAAATTATTAAGTTATTCCCTGTAACAGGAAATTCTGAAATAGTTTATTATTTTAAAAATAAGAGACTTTCACAATGCCATCATCTGAAAGCTGTCTTTAAAAACAAAACAAAACAAACAAACAAACAAAAACCCCAAGCTCTGACAGGTTCTATGAAAGGAAAACTTTCCCCACATACTTTTTACCAGTCTATCCTGACATGCTTGCAATAGTAGGGGGGTCCCCTGGGTGGTGGCAGCTACTCGGTAGCAGTGGGAAGTACTGAAAGCTGTCTTTAAATGGCAGGGACTATCTCAAGGAGGGGTGTGGGGTGGGATGAAAGGGGAGGGTAGGAGTGAGTGTGGGGGTCAGTGAATAGAAACACTATATGAAATGCCCTCACAAATATATACTGACAGAGGTAGCATAGAATATCCAGCTTTCCTATTCAGGATTTCAGGATGTTAACATAAAAGCTGTTGACATAAAAGCTCACTTCAATACCAAAAATTTAGAAAAAGAAAAACAAAACAAAACAAACAAACAAAACCCCACAAACTCTCACTTGACCATATTAAAGAGTCAATGCAAATGGTTACTATGTTCATGGGGTCAGAACAAGAAGGCTGCCCATACTTTGTCTAATAATGTGTGTCTGTGTGTTTGTAAGAGACACATTTCAAGCCAGCCTTGGTGACAGCACAGAGGATGGAGCAGGACTTGCAAACACAGGCAGTGCCTGCAGTGCAAGATGAAGGCAAAGACAGGGCTGGAGAGGAGGTCAGCAGTAAAGCCCCACCATCCATGCTCCTCCACTCCTACTGTCAAAGAGATGGGGAGGACAACTTCTAAAAGTACCACATCACTAGTAAGTGGAACAAAAAATAGCCGTAACATTTTATTACATTTATTACATCTTATTATGTTTCTCACTGGCATATACTCATAAGGGCATTGTCATTATGTACAGAAAATTAAGTTCAAGGAGAGGAGGAGGTCCTGAAAGAGCTCTGATCATTTTGGGAAGGAATTCTGGTACTCTCAAGGATGTGGATGGTTGGTAAGTTTGGTTACTAAGTATATCTAAGAAACCCCATGTTATTGTTTTCTATTTTCTTATTGCAGGTTTGAAACTATGCAGTATAATTTTCTCACAGTCACAACTTTCTTTAAGAATTAACAACAGAATGAAGAGTAGGCAAAAAGACATGCCATGCTACTAGTAACATAAACTGTGTTACACATAGAACTTTAGAAATGTTGCCTTATATGCTTATCAAATTATTATGATAGGGTAGTTTATCCTCATATTAAGACCTGGCTAAGATATTGAAGCTAATTGATGCCAAGAATGGTGATACATGCCTGTAATTCCAGCATTCAGGAGGCTAAAGCAAGATTGCAAATTTGAGGCCAGCCAGGCCTACATAGTCAGACTCTGTTTCAAAAATAAAATAAAACAAGTAATTGATGCTGAAGGCTGAATATGTAACTCCTGATGGCCTGCTTGCCTGTGTGAACAAGGCCCTAGGTTTCATCTCCAGTGCCAAAAAAAATTTAATGCAAAAAATAAGGATAAGAAAAAATCCCATAAATTGAAGTTGAGATAAATAATATGCCTGGTAGCACCTAGGTGGCCAAAGTGGAGTACTGTGATTTAAATCTGTGTCTCTAATGTCACACTTCTTCCTATTCTGACATTTCACTGCTGAAAAAGCTCAAAGCTACAAAAAGGAATAAAGATTAAAAAGTGGTGGGACAGTGAAGAAAAGAGGTAAAGAAGTTTCCCTTGAGTAATGAGGCAAGAAGAGGAATTGGGAAGAGGAAAGAAAACACCATATATGCTTCTGTTCAAGACCATGGTGATCTGAAACAGATGACTGCATTGTGTACATGCCCTGGGACTAAGGAGCCTACAGCCTGTGTATTTCAGTCTCTCACAGGTGAATTCAGCTAAGAACACAGCAGTCCATGTTTGCCTGGGGGTATGGAGTCTGTGCAAATGAGTCTTCCATTGCACAAGAATCCCACACATCCTCCAAAACTGCTTTCAGGATTAGTCTGCAAACAAGGCAACAAGGTTCTTAGTGGTCACGTCCTACTTCTGACTAAAAGTGACAGCAAAACTTGATCATTGTGTTCACTCCCAAAAAGCAAAGGGCTCCAAACTACTTAAAACTACTTACAGTACTGCTAGAAGTTCTCTTTGTCCCACCAGGTCCCGCAATCCCTTCTGCCCCAAATAAGCACATGGATGCTATATTAAGTATTAAGCTGTTGGCCGAAGACTGGACCATTTCTATTAATCTAAGTATTACCATGTGGGGTCTTATCTTACTGGAGAAGGGTCTGGAATTCTTACTCCTTTGACTGCCTACCTTTTCCAGAATTCTCTCGTCTCCTAGTCCCACCTATCTCCCTGCCTCTATTGACCACAGTGTTTTATTCTTCAACCAATAAGAGAAGCATACATACTGAAGGACAATCCCCATCACTGACGGCCGCTTTTCCCTACATCTATACTTTAGTTTTTAATATCACTTTTACATTTTCTCACTCAATCTCTACAGGTAAGAAACCTGGCCTTGAAGATCTCAAGTAGACTGTCCATGGTTAAGGAATGAGCAGCTCTCATTTATCTAAGTGATCTCCAGGAGCCCTCCCCCTTTCGAGAATAAATTAAAGCTCATACCTTAGTTTCTGTTCCACAGTGATAATAAACTTAGCATCTTTTACAAGAACAGAAGCAGCCTGTTGCACACCTTTCCTTGTTGCACAAAACTGAAAACAAATTAGTGAATTCTGTATCAATCAGGTTAAAAACTGAATATTACACACAAAATCAGCAACTAATAATCCATACCACAAGTGTGGGCTTCTGCTCGGAGTATGTTCGTATAACACTGTAAACCTTATAGTTGAGGGCCAAATCAAACTTAAATTCAGTTTGGTTGCTACTGCAGGGAAAACCCAGGACCACTTTCTGCAGTTTCACAGGCCTGTGGCTCTCATCCATCTTCAGACACACAGCAGGCTTTTCGCCATCTGAGAGCCATTCTGCAACCTGGAAATCAGGAATGCATGTGTTACAACTTTTTCCTCAGAAAGCTTCAAAGCTAAACACAACACAACTTTAGACCACTTTAAAGTCAGGACTGAAAATGTTCAATCCAGTCATCTTTTTTCAATATTATATACTTCACTAATAATACTCTGTAGATATGTTAGTAAATGCTACAATAGCCATGTTTCAAGACCATAAACACTTTTACATGGTAGAGTTCTGACTAGTTATTAATATTTTGTTTTATATTCCCCTGTACGAGCCCAAACTAGAACTGAAATCAATTTGGTCATAACAATCAAAGTTCAAAACACACAGGTATTTGTAGTTCTAGAAGACTGGGTGGCAAAGGATAAAGACTATTGTTTTAGAGGAATATTGAGGGGAAGGATGAGAAAAACAAAAAGAAACCAGTGTTCACAAAACCAGTGATTACCACAATGAAGGAAGTTTCAAAAATGTGATTGTATTTTTATAAAAATTGCTACAAATCAATAAAGAAACCACCACCCCAGTGTGAAAAAAAGGCAAAGAGCATCACTGGTCTAAAAGAGGTAATGTAGTTGATAAATATATTAAAATACTTCAGTCAGTAAAAAAATCAAGAAGTAAAAATCTTAAAAATAAGTATGTACATTTGAGAATATTTATTATTATAAAAATAATTTCATTATTCTGTTGTCTAATGTTAGTATACAAAAATGGCTGGTAACAGGAAGTAGAGAGATGACTTCTTAAATATATGAGTGTGACATTTATTGACGGCAGTGTCCCCAGAAAGTTTAAACCAGCCTTTCACTTACTTCTTTTACTCCATATCATGCTATGGAAATGAGCCTGAATATTTTCAAAGATACATTAACTTCAGCACTGTTTATAGCAGAGAAGTAGAAATAACACTACATTCTGAGGTTAGACAAATATATAAAAATAAAACTACAAAAAGTAAAGCATATTTTATAACATGGAAATGTTTACAGGTAAAACAACAAAAAATATGTATAATTATTCCATGCTATGGTGAAGATGCACTTTGTATGTTTCCCAGAGTTTATATGTTAGAAACCTGTTTCCAGGGTAGCAACAATGTTGAGAAGGAACCTTTCAAAAGAACCTAGTTCAGGGAGATTTTTGTCACTGAGGAAGCTGCCCCTAGAGCAGAGGAGACATGCTGGTCTTACAGAGCAAGTCTCTTGAGAGTGGGTTGTTAGAAAAGGGTAAGTCTGGTTGGCTCTGGTGCTGCAGGTCTATAATCCTAGCTACTTGTGCGGCTAAGGTGAGAAAATAATACATTTAAGGCCTGCCTGAGCTACTGGGTGAGTTCCAGTCCTGCCTAGACAATGTATTGAGAAAGAATGCAAGGATGGACATCAGCCTCAGTGTGAGGCTGGAGGTTCAGTCTCCAGCACTGAGAACAAACAACAAAAAAGTCTGACTCCCAAATCTCTTTGGCTCACTACAAGCTATCTGTCATGTTATGAGGTAGTCAGGAGGGCAGTCACCAGGCTGAACCAGTCTTATTTTTCCAAACTGTGAGTGAAATAAGCCTCTTTTAAAATTCAGTTCTCCGACTTTAGGTATTTTGTTACTGTGACAGAAAACAGGCTGATACATGTGTAGATATAGAAGAACATTCTAAGTTTCAAGTTTATGTAAGTCAAAACTATCAATGGCATGGTGATATGTGTCTTTAATCCCAGCATTCAAGAGGCAAAGACTCACAGATCTCTGTGAGTTGAGGCCAACCAGGTCTACACAATGAGACCCTGTTGTGGAAGATCCCTAAAGGCACATAGAAATGATCCCGGTGAGGTAAGGATCAAACTGAATTCAGCCCAACTTAGGTAACTGGTGCTGGGCCAAACTCCAAGAGTCTGTCATCAATTGACTCATTTTAGCAATATTTAAGCACACACAATTTTGGGAAAAAGTTTTCTGGTAACAATGAACTCAGTCCCAAGTGAATGGGGGCACAAAGGTTCTTGCACCTACCGATCACTAGGGAAACCAGGAATGTTAAACACACAGAGGCCTCTCCTCAATGGAGGAGATAAAATGAAATTGAAGTTTTCTCTCCCACCCACCAGTTCCTGAATAACCATTCAGAGGATTAATATTAATTTTACATGTTTGGCTGATGGCTCAGGCTTATTACTAGCAAGCTCTTACATTTAAATTAACCCATTTCTATTAATCTATGGATTGCTACATGGTCATGGGATTACCTCATTTTCTACTAGCTTTTAAAAAGTTTGCTTAAGTACAGGAGAGATGGCTCACAGGTTAAGAGCACTGGCTGCTTCTCCAGAAAACCTGAGTTCAATTCCTAGCACCCACAGGGCAACTCACAAGCACCTGTAACTCCACTTCTAAAGGATCCAACACCTTTCCTTCACCTCCAAGACCACCAAGCATGCACAAACATACATGCAGCAAAACACCCATATACACATAATAAAGAGTCATATATTTTTAATCAAATTAAAAATCTATTATAGAAAGCATAATACCACAAATAACTCGGTCTACACACCCATGTCCCAATAACTATGAAATCCTTCTCCTGGTTATACAAGGACAAGTCCACACAGCTGCCCTTTTAAAACAGTCACTAGTATACTGCAATACAGGCACAGAGAACTGAGGGAAAGTGGATAGGCACTTTGGCCATTACTCCTCCCTCCCCACTCTGAAATACAATTAAGAGTCAGCTCATTCTAGCCAGGGTGGTACGCATGCTTTTAGTCCTAGCACTAGGGAGGCAGAAGCAGGCACATCTCTGAGTTTGAGGCCAGCCTGGTTTACAGAGCAAGTTCCAGGACAGCCAGGGCTGCACAGAGAGACCCTGTCTCAAAAAAAAAAAAAAAAAAAAAAAAAAAAAAAGAAAGAAAGAAAGAAAGAAAGTCATCTCATGACACACATTACTATCCAAGTTACAAGGTATCCGCAATAAGTGAAAACTATGAGCTTTAGATAAAAGCACATAACAGATTTTTACTAAAAATATTTTTATTAAAGTTTATGGCCATAACTTTGTTACGCCAATGAAATCTAGCACTAACGTTTTCCATATACTAAATTAAATGACTGACAGAAAATACCATCTTCTCTGAGGTAAAATTGATTAAATGTTCCATAGATAATAAAATCAAGCAAGTGAAGATTAGGACTTACATCCTCAGCATTGGGAATTGTTGCAGATACAGCCACAAATCTCATAGGGATAGGGCTAGCATTTTGTAAGGCCCTAGATAAAGACTGTACAGTTTTCATTCTGCTAACAACAACCTCAAGAGTTGGGCCACGGTTTTCATCTTTTATAATATGCACCTAGGTAAGAAATCAAGAGAGAATCATTAGGTATAAAACTAAAAATCTAATCAATTAAAAATGCAATCTTAATATTTTTCTTTGTAAAAATAAGCATTTTCAATTTTGAAGGCCCAAAAACATTATTTTACTGAAAATGTCACTTCTTTCTATCCATTTTAAATATCACTTTATGTTTATCTCTGAAAGTGAATGTGTTCACTACCTCATCAATGAGAAACAACCGGACCAGCTGGACTAAAGAGTTGTCTCTCCACTTCCTGGTCATGCTGTCCCACTTCTCCTACAGAAAAAAGTACAAGTAGTTTATTCTAATAAGGAATTACAAGTATTGTTTAAGACACAAGTATTGTTTATGACAAATCTTATCACACATAATTACAAACAAAGTGCATTGTTTTACTTGATTCTTTAAAATCTCCATCAAAGAGTTGAGGATTAAAAGTTACTTAAATGATTTTAAGAGTCTTAAAACACAAGGTCTTTGATCTTTGAAATAATCACGAGTCAAAATCTAATTACACTCTGCATATTTGATGTGTGTGGATGTTTTACCTGCATTTATGTCTGTACAGCATATGCATGTAGCGCCTGTGAGGACCAGAAAAGGACATGGGATCTCCTGAGACTGGAGGGTGTTGAGAACCAAAGTCAGATCCAACAGAAGAGCAGCCAAGACTCTTAATCACTGAACCATCTCTCCCGCCTACTAATTATATATTTTTAAACCCTACCAAGGTATTACTTCTCTAATACATACTTGGACAAATGAATACAAGGAAAAGCCATGGTTATAGATTGTCCACAATTACAAATCAGTTTGCTTTACTCATTGTTCATATATGTGATCATTTCTTTTCCACTTTTTATCTATGGACACTCTCCCCAATATCCTGAATATTAAATGTTTCTATGGTAATTTGTTTACACTGCAAATACATGCTGTACTTTATATTTTCTTTTAACAAATTTTCTTAATGGAGATAAATAAATATCTTCAAGTAAATAATGAAATAAAAATAATACTTACTGGAGTTGTCATAATTATATTGGCATGTTGAATCTCAAACAAGTCATCCATTACTGTATCTCCAGTAAGTTCTTTACAATTCAAGCCCATTGGTCCAAACTTTTCTTTCCAGTCATCAAACCGCTGACTACAAAGAGCTTTTATTGGTGCCACTAAAATAATATATTTCTTTTGAATACCATTGTAATTTTAAATTTGTTTTCTCAAGCTCTAATTAATAAAGTTAGTATAAAAACACACTAATTGCTGCATAAAATTGATAAAGTAAAAGCTAAATATACAAACATAGTAAGCTAAAAAAGTGATCACTAAGAAGAACTAAAAATTGAAACAGAAGTGATCGCTCAAGGAATCTAAAGATGGGGAGAGGTGGAACAAGTGATTATTGCTTTTTCATAGGAAGTCTTTTGTGATTAGTCATTTCTTTTAGACTGTGTACATACACTACTTTGGGGAATTTTAAGAAATATGCACCCAAAAAAGAAGAATTCTAGAACTATAAGATATATGATTATTTGTTCATTTTGTCTGTCCTCTTTTTTTAATGTAAAGTTCAAATCCTCAATTCAAATATTATTTTTTAATGTACAACTCTAGGAAAAGGTGTTTCAATTTTAATGTAACAGATACAATCAATTGTGGCATGTCTTTATTAAAGTGTACAGAGTGCTAGGGTTACAGCTAAGTGGTAGTGGTAGAGTTCTTACCTAGCTTGCTAGCTTGTGCAAGACCCTGAGCTCAATAATGTCTAGTGCCACATACACACATAAGCAAAAAAAAAAAAAAAAAAAAAAAAGGAGACTCTGTAGGTGCACAGTGCTCACTGCCAAAGTTTTTGTCAATATGTCCAGATAAATTAATAAAATTTCTGATGTATAGCTACCAAGCTATCAAATAATATAATTCCCATGCTCTGAGTTGAAATAACTTTATTTCTGTCTTACTCTCTGATTATAACTAATTAGCATTTTTAACAATATATACTTACTGTAAACAATTTTCATGTTGATCCATGGCAATGGTACTTCCATTAACAATCTAGTTATCGCTAGTTCAAACACGACGGTTTTCCCAGAACCAGTGGGGGCACAAATCACAAAATTCCTATCTGTGTAAAGAAGCTAAAAGATACAAAATCAGCTTGATCATTAATATGTAGAATTTTTTTATATAAATTCTCAATATCCTGGAAAAATGTGCTTTAAGAAGATTAGGAATATTGCTTCAACTATGTTTACCTCTACAATTCCTAAGTGTGGCCCTGCTCTAGAAATTTCACCCTCTAAACAACACATTGTGTCATATCATGCTGTTTTGTCAAAATGAATGCTGGACCTAAAAGAAAATCATTCTTTTACCCTTAAGAGAAATTCTTATGAATTTAATAAATACAAGTCGATCCACCCTTGTGACTTGCTGTTCTCTTTGACAAGCATCCCCTAATCTCCTGAAATGTACTAATAACTGAATGTGGTAGTGACTTTTCCCTCTTCTCAGAGAGCCACAGTTAGTGAGGAGAGAAAGAAAAGTAATTATATGATACTCACATCATCAAAGGCTTTGGACTGTATATAGTTGAAGTAAGGGAATTCTTTGAATATACTTCTAAATTTTGCCGCTTAGAAGAACATTAAGGAATTAAATATTTCAGAATTTAAGAATGTTTACTTTTAATTTAAAAATTCTGTTTTAATGCTATTGACTCTCACAGTATCCAATGATAATGTTTTAACATTTGCTATTTCAACATCTTAAGAATTAATGTAAGGGAACTGGAGCAATGACATGCAGGCAGTTAAAAAAACACTCATTCTTTCAGAGAACATGGGTTTGAGTCCTAGCACCCACATAGTGGCACATAGCCATAGTTACACAGAATCTGATGTCATCTCCTGATGTCGTCAGGCACCAGGCACACATGTGGTTCAACGTGCAGGCAAAACACACATACAAATAATGATTTTTTTAATTAAAAAAATAATGGAAGTTATTCTAATCTGCTTCCACATTTGTTTCCCTAAAAATAACTGACAAATCCCTGTGGGAAAACAAAAGGTTATATAAGGAATAAAACTTGAGAGCTAAATATGATGAAACAGATTTGAATATATGGAGACATGCCTATTAGAACTATTTTAGTCTGTTTTTCCTTACTTGTGTTGACTAAGAAACTTAATTTTTATATTGTCTTTAATGTTCAAATTTTCATTTATTAACTGATTTTGCCTGGGTTTCATTAATAGTGATGTTCTGGTCAGTTAATCTTGAATGTCTGCATTTTTATATTATTTGTATTAATTATAATTATCAGTATATTTGCTCAGTAAATGAACTTGAATTACACTTCCCTTGTTAGAAAGTTTAAAACTATTACTATTATAGTAAATAATTACCCCATTCTCCAGGGTGAGATTCTACTGCCAGATTCAGGAATATTTTAATGGCACTCTTCGTACAAAGTTGCAATTGGTCAACTACAGTTATTAGCACCATATGCAAAATGCATTACTAGATCTCAGACACTACAAAAAAGAATTCCTTCCCACAAGTGAGGCCTTTAGGATTTATTGGGGACAGAAATAATGGCTCAGTAGTTGAGGGTACTTGCTGCTCTTGCAGAGAACCTGAATTCTGTCCTATCGACATCACACAGCTCACAAAACACCTGCCGTCCAGTTCCAGGGATCCATTGCCTTCTTTTGGCTTCTAAGGACACCTTCACACAGGTACACACACATACATGCAAATGAAAATAAATAAAAACTTGAAAATATATAGTTGAAGGAACTCTACTTTTAGGAAGTATTTAAATACTCATGGGTTGCTGTAGTAATGCTTTTTAAAACTTTTAAAACAAATTATACCACTTTTCTGTCTAAATTTCTCCCTTTCCCTCCAAGGCCCTTCAACCTATCTCCCTCCAATCTCCCACCAGCTTTATTGCTCTGGTTTCAGATCCTCTGTTCCTGTAACCTCACACTCCTCTCCTGTACTATTCAAAAGCAACAGCCATGGCCTGCCAGGGCATCTTTCCCCTGCCTTTATGCTTCACTCCCCTCCAGTTTCCCTGTCCCTTCATCTGATTGCTGACTTCTCACCATCTTAGAGTTGGCCCTGTTCATTTTAGTAAATTCTGTATCTTGAGCCTTCGATTCTGGCAGTCTCCATTGAAATTCTTTTACCCTACCCTACATTCTTTTTCCCCATAACACTCATCACCGTCTCAAACATCATCTGACTTACTTTCACACAGTTACTATTGTTCAGATTACCTCACCCCCACCTTCCATTGTAATAACAGGAGCTCAAAGACATGGGCCCACTCTCCCTTTTCTTAATTGGCACATTCCACAAGGTCAGCACAGTGTCTCATTTAATGTAGGTTTGCACTTATTAAGCCAAATGATTAATTTCTAAATCTTCATTTTACTTTCAACATGCTATAATATTGTCATAATACATACAGACAAGCATGCACACATGTGAAAATAAAAACTTTTAAAAATATATTTGAAAATATGTGACAAATTTAGAGTCCATCGGCTTTTTAAAGAATCACATTTTTCCCCCAAGGAATGTTTTTCCATATAAAATATTTATTTATAACAAGCCTAGGAGTGGCCTATCATGCTGGTTTCTCTCTCATTAGATATATCTGCATCAATTTATATTCACAAAACTGAATCTCTGATTCAGAGTACAGGCAGACTCTGTCTCCCAGTGCACGATAAACCTCAGCCATTAAATATATCATCTATCATCACTGTGAACACTCAAAATCAGAATTTTCCTTTGTTCCATAAACTTGCAGCAGCACTACTGCAATTATTTGTCATACTGGAGGTTTCTGCACAACTGAAGATGTCAGTACTCCAGCCAGAGCAATCAATTAGAGTAACATGCTGAGAAAGAATCTGCAAATATATGTGTTCTTTTACTTTGGACACATTCTTTAAAATAACAAAGTTATTATGAATATATAAAATTTTTAAAAAATTAACCAATTTATACTGTCTATAAAATATAGACAGTAGTCTTGGCACTAGTGACATTGAGTTGTGAGTTTTCTAGTACCAGCATGAGTTCCCTCTTATTGAACAGATCTAAAGTCCAATTAGAGAGCAGCTGGTTGCTCCCTCTTCTGGAAGCTTGCCTGGTACTTTCTGGTACTATGAAAGCTAGTCCTCAGAGATGGGATGTTTAGAACCAACTAGACAATAGTTAATTGGCTACTATTAAACTATTTCTTATGTTCCCCTTCTACTGGTGCAAATACATACATGTGTCTTAGTGAGGGTTTCTACTGCTGTGAAGAGACACCATGACCATGGCAACTCTTACAAAGGAAATACATTTAATTGGGGTGGCTCACAGTTCAGAGGTTCAGTCCATTATCATCATGGCAGGACATGGCAACATGCAGGCAGACATGGTACTGGCAGACATGTGAGACTCTTTACATCTTGGTTCAGATGTAAGGTCTATGATACTGGGCAGTATCTTAAGCATAGGAAACCTCAAAGTCCACCCTCATAATCACACACTTCCTCCAACCAAGCCACACCTTTGGGAGCCATTTTCTTTCAAACTCCGGAAGTTGACCTCAGTTCTTAGCTCTCTAGTTCATACACTGAGCTCTACTTCATACACTGAGGCAGCCTTTTTGCTAACACTGGAGCTTGCTGTCTCAAGCTATTCTAGCTAATTAACCTGCTCTGGTGACCCTGTCTCTGCCTCTTTAGCCTGTCCCATGTCAGGCTACCATGCCAATCTAGCATTTACTGGATTCTGAGACTTGCTCCCTGTTTGTGGTATTGTTCAGGAAGGGTTAGGCAGTGTGGACTTATTGGAGATGTGTCACTGGGGGTGGGCTTTGAGGTTTTCTTGGGCTCTCTCTCTGCCTTCCACTTGCTGATCAAGATGTGAACTCTGAGATGCTCCAACCAACACACCTCCTGCCACTCTGCCATGCTGTAAGCCACAGTAAATGCTCTCTTTTATAAATTCCTTTGGCCATGGTGTTTCATCTCAGCAATAGAAAAATAATAAAGACATTGCTCAATAACTGAAATTTACTTTTTGCTTTTCATATGTAAAGGGGGTATTGCCACCAGACCAGACTATTCCAAATACACTCAAGTATTCACATTAGAAATGCCCAAGCATACAAATTTGATTATTTATAACCGACTGGGCTTTGGTGGTACACACCTTTAATCCCAACACTCGGGAGGCAGAGGCAAGCCGAACCCTGTGAGTTTGAGTCCATCCTGGTCTATAGAGTGAGTTCCAGGACAGGTTCTAAAACTACAAAGAAAAACCCTGTCTCAAACTCCCTTCAAAAGTCCTCAAATCCACAAAACATTTGCGTTCCCCTATTTGACTTAATCCAATATCTGTATTCTTTTCTACCAAAAGAAATTATCTATATTTAAGTAAATGTATCAAGTTCTTCCAAAGCTACAAATCTGATTTCTGTTTTATATTGTCAGACTGAAAACAATTCTCAAGCCATGCTTGAAGTAACACTGGCAATCATACAATGTATCGCTTACATGACCCAAAAGATTTACTTTTCCATCTTTTACTGTGCTTACCAAAATAAACACACAGGAATGCAGTGAAACAAAATATCTTAAATATACAATTTCATAAACGTAAAGTAGCTACTGTTAAAAAAAAAAAAAAAAGGATACGGATTTCTGTGACAGCCTTCAAAGAACCTAAGCCATTTGGGGTTATACCTAAAAAAAGAAAAGAAAAAAAAGATACTATATATTTCTATGGATAATATGGATATTTTTAACCATTTCCATAAAACATCTCCAATAAAATTTGTATAACATTTTACTGAGAGGTAAGTTAAAAATATTGAGATAAAGCTACAAAATAATGCAACAATAAAGAAATGCATAAATTGTACACAGAGAGAGAAATTTATTTTTATTCTTCCTTATGCTAAGAAGTGCAAACTGGTCTGTATTTTCAATAAAAGCACACAAATAAGCAACTGAATAAGAAATTACCTTGAATGTCATGCGGCTGAGATGCAACAGAAAAGGATGGTACTTTGAATATGTTTTCTCCAGTTTCAGAAGCAGAAAAGGCATCATTTGCTTTCAATTTATTTGTAGAATATTGAAGTTTCTGCTTACTACTGCCACAGTTCCATGATTTCTCTTTGCTTATTTTTGTCTGGGCAAGTTTTGCTGAGCTGATATGGGAATCTAAGTTTATATTTCCATAATCACATTCATGTATATTGTCACATGTTCTAAATAATCTGAAAAAAAAATAAACCACCACATATTTTAGGCTTCTAACATTTGCTTAAAAGCTAGCACAAAATATCCTCAGAATGGTGGTTTCTCAGGAACATGGGAATCAGTTTACCTCAAGATCCAGCAATTCTACTCTTGGGCTTATACCCAAAGGATGCACATTCATACAACAAGGACATCTGTTCAACTATGTTCATAGCAGCATTGTTTGTAATAGCCAGAAATGTCCATAACTACAGATTACCACTAATGTCTTTATCTTCATTTTTCCAAAACTCATCTAAGACTTTAAAGCAGCTTGTTTCCAAGATGGCTCCAGTGATCCTTGTCTCCTGGTAGCCACAGGCTTTTTATGGTCTACAAACAAAGCCACTCAATCAGAACTGGCCCTCATAACTTGTAGAGTTACTCAACTGCTGACAATTCTATCATTGAAGACAGAAACTCCAAATGCAGACAGGTGATAAACAGAACCCATTATAAAATGATCCTGGGAATGAGAACTGACTTATGCCATAGGGTGACTTGCACACACTACACTGTGATCCTGGTTAAAATCAACGACTGGAACCAGACAAATCTGGACCTGAGTACAAAGCTCATCCATTTTCTATCTGTGTGACTTTAAAGTTATTATGAGTTTCACATAAGTCTAATAAACTATAAAGGTGTTATGTAGATCCCCGCTGATAGTATTCAGGCATCTGTACTGTCTGTCCTTGGGGTTCCGACAGGCTATGCCCTCAGCTGCAGCCACTGAGAGCACCATCTGCATTCATTCACTATGTTCCATTTTTAAAAGGGCCATGCCCACCTCCCATCCTTCTCTTTTTCTTTCTCTCCCTCTCTCTGTCTGTGTCTCACCCCCCCTCCCTCTCTCCTGCTGCTCCTGTCTCTGGAGACTGGTCTCCCCCCTTCCCTTTCCTCTTTTTATGATCCCTTTCCCTAATTCAAAACAAAACAAAACAAAACAAAACAAAAAACCCTCTGCTTGAACCCCGTCATTTGATTCAGGAATGTTTTGTATGCTGTTCAATCTCCATGAGTTTGTGTATGTTCTTTAGTTTCTTTTGTTATTGAATTGTAGTCTTACTCTATTGTGGTCAGGTAGAATATAAGAAATTATTTCAAGTTTCATACATTTATGAAGATGTGCTTTGTGTCCTACTTTAGAAAATGTTTCATTGTGCATTCATCGGTGTTTGGATGGAATTTCAGTAGGTGTTTGTGAGATTTTTGATCTCTGATGCCATTTAATTCATGTTGTTTTTAACTAAGTCTCTATTGTTCTATTTTATCAAGACTTGGGAGCATGAGGCAGATAAAGCCCAGCTGCTTCCTATAGTGATATTTTGTTTGTGCTGTAACAAATAAAGCTTGCCTGAAGACCAGAGAGCAGAGGTAGCAACCAGTCAACCATAGAGGCCAGGCAGTGGTGGCACCCACTTTAATTCCAGCACTAGGGAGGTGGAACAGGAAGGAATATGGCTGGACAGAGAGAGGAATGTAAAGGAGGAGGAGACAGGAGCTCACCCCCTTCAGTCTAAGGATTTGGGAGAGGTAAGAAGCCTCTCTAGTGGCTGCTCCTTTACTTCTCTGATCTTTCAGCATTTACCTCGGTATCTGACCCTGGGTTTTTATTATTAGGACCAACTAGAATTTGTACTACAGCTTCTTCCTCTACCATCCCCTAGAGCCTTATGAACATGTCTGTGTCCCTATGCAGAGAATTCCAAGTCGCTTATATAGTGCCAACTGAGAACATGGATTCTTCCATTTGTTTTCAGTGTATAAAGTCTCTCCTTCAATTATGACAGACAATTCTTCTGGATATAGTAATCTGTATTGGCAGTTAGCGACTTTGAGAGATCTAAATAATTCATTCCATGCCCTCTGACTTTTCCGTTTCTATTCAGAAGGCTGCAACAGATTACTGAGACCATTGCAGAAAATTATAACAATTCAAAATGCAGAGTTGTAGAGTCCAGTTCCAATGGATCAGGGAGTTTGTAGTGAGACTGTGTTTCCTAAGAACATCAGAGGCTACAACCCATAAAAATCTCACTAATGTAACTGTTAAAACATGAGCTGAACAAGGACAACAACAGACACGCTAAGAGAGATCTGGGAGTGAGGAACCCCAGCAGGCTTCAACCGTACACAACGAACTACAGGCAACTAAGGAATGCTGAGAATGGGAAAAATAGTCCCCAGGCAAGGGCAAACCAACTGGTTATCCAATACCAAGTGACCCACCCTGCCTGATATATTTTAGCTTTCAGCTTTAACTTTCAGGACAGCTAAGTATTAACAGACATAACGCACCTAAGCAAAAACCGAGATTTCTCAGTAAAGTTTAAGTAGTAAATGGTACCAATAAGAAAAGCTTGAGAATATTTCTTTAACCATGTCGGTTGTTAAAATAATAGCCACTATACAAAATATTCAATGAGTTAATTTTAGTCACTATCCACACCTCCACAGTAAGTCTTAACATTCAGTAAGTTGGTTTTTGTTAGTCACTGTCCATGCCTCTATTCAATGACTTAGTTTTAGTCACTGTCCACGCCTCCACAGGCAGTCTCAAGCGCCTGAAAGGCAAGAACTTAAGACTCCTGTGAGTAGAATTGCAGGCCTGATAGCATCTCCCACATAAACTATTTGTTGCTCCTGTTTTTCTCACCCACCTATTAAATTTAATTCTTTTCAGATTTGCTCAGAGTATTATTTAACTAATCAGTTACCTTTTTTTGAATGCTGATATACTCTCCCCTCTCTCATCTGCAGTGTTAGGAAATTTTGAATCACCAGGACCATTCTTTACAGGTGAATTCTCAGTGCCCATGTGAACTTTATATTTCTGAGAAGAGCCATACACCAGCTTGCCAGCAACACGGGATGAGTCATTGTTTCTTGATCCTCCTAAATTTAGGTAATCCTGTTTATGCACATTACAGGAAAAATTGAAATTTTGTGGTGGTGAAATACAATTTTTGTCTTCATTAATGATCTTCAAATTTGATGTTAACATTTTTGGCATCTTTCCTTGGCCTACAAAAAAATATATATACTAATTATTAATATATTATATGTTCTTTGTGAAAAGAAATTTTCTAAGTAACGACAGAAAAGTTCACTTAAAAGTTTCTAATGGGGGCCAGTGGCATGATTTAGTGGGTAAAAATATCTATCAAGATGGAAACCCTGAGTTCTGTCCCCAGGACCTACATGGTGGAAGGAGAGAAATGACTCCTACGAGTTGTCCTCTGACCTCACAAACACTGTGATAGTAACCCCCATACACACAAATACTTAATAAACATTAACAAAATTAAAATTTTTCTAAAGAGCTTACTAGATAACTACAAAAATTAAAAAACTTGGTATAATAATAAGATAATCTGTACTACTATTGTCATGAAATAAAAGATGGCTATTTCTGGAGGCAGAGGCAGAATGACCTCTGTGATTAAGAGGACAGCCTCATTTACATAGTGAGTTTAGGCTAGCCAAGGCCTCACAATGAGGCCCTGCATTAAAAAAAATATGCAAATGCATATGCAACTGTGTATAAATTAGGAGTCATAATAAAACACTAAGTTTTGAGTATTATCACATAGAAACATACTTGTTGTGGGATGAACTCTTTTGTAGCATTGGGGATGCTGCGGGGCTCTCCTGCATACTATACACACACTCTGCTCCGTCATTTACAGTGTTTAAAGCAATTGGAAACTATAGATAATCTTCTGCATCTTGTTTGTTTTCACTGAGCACACTCAGATATCTGGCTCTCAGAAAGCTTTACTTTTTGTAAAGAACAAAACAGAATTGCAGTAGCAAAAGTTTTAGTAATAGAAGGAGGAACCTATTCAGAAAGCAGCAGCACAAACATGTGAGAGTGTGTTATGCACAATGTGAATGTGTTTATGCAGTATTGTTTATGCACTACATATATTATGCACTCTGTGAATGTGTTTATAGAGGTGAATGTTCTAGAGCTTGAGATTTGATGGACACACACAAAAGGAATTATAGTTTAATATATTAGTAATTTTTAAATACAGACATAAACTGCATGAGTTTGGCTTCACAAGAAACATGACAATTTACCTAATAGTTTACAACTTTCAATTTCTTCCTCTAACTCTTGAGTATTTGGAATTTCTGAAATCAGTGGAGCTGGAGGGAGAAACCAATCCAGTGATTTTTCCTTAACTGGAAGGCTACACAGAAAACATATGTTAATAAGCCAGGCTATCAAAAACCATTTATTTATTAAACATTTCTCAAATACAAACTTTCAAACATTCCATAAATAAACTTTCTGTCCTGATTTTCCAATACTTTTGACATCTTTTCCCTGTGTGTCACAGGAGGGATACACTAGCTAAATGATAGCTTGATAGCCAGGCAGGGTGGTGCACGCCTTTAATCCCAGCACTAGGGACACAAAGGCAGGTGGATCTCTGTAAGTTTGAGGCCAGCCTTGTCTACAGAACAAGTTCCAGGACAGGCTCCAAAGCTATAGAGAAATCCTGTCTCAAAAAAAAACTAAATAAATAAATAAGTAAATGATAGCTTCATTTTCTCCTCACTCAAACTTTAGAATTTGAACTATTACATACAACAAATTACTTGTGGCATACCTCACCCATAATCATGGGTTATCAACATGTAAATTTCACCATTACTATATTCTAGATTATTCCCATAACTATTAAAAGAAGTCCCTAAAATTATAAAACTGAAAATTATACATTAGATCACCCTTTTTTTCAGGTACACTTACTTTTCAGTTTCATCTGGACTATTGAAAAACAAATTATCCATGGAAAAAAAGCAATCGTTTGACTTCAGCATTGTTGAAAACCAGACTTTGTGAAATCTACAAGATACAAGAAAAAAAGTTGTTTATATTCATTTACAAGGATATAAAAAGTGATTTCCAGACAAACAAATGAGACTCATTAACTTCCCAGAATGTTTTCTAAAACATAATCACAGACAATGCTTTAACTTTGTCTTGGGTATGTTCCTTGGAAACACCTCAGCAATGGCACACACTATTCTCTGCTCATTTGTGTGTTTTCCGTCCCCCTCTCCCCCACCCCTCCCCCCTACCCCCTCACCCCCCAGTCCCCCTCTTCTCCGCTGCCCCCCTCACCCCTGTCTGGTCGCCCTCGCCCCTGCCCCCTCACCACCCCCTCACTCCTCCCCTGCCTCCCTCCCTCCACCCCCTCCCCCCGCGGCAGCCCTGCTCGCCCCAGGCCTCTCACCGTTCTGACAGGAATGCAAAAGAGTCCAGCGCAGTCTGCGCCCGCCCAGCAGATGGCGCCCGAGAGGAGCTGCCACACCCGCGCCCTCACACATGACCCCTGACCCTAGCCCCGCCCACGCGACCCCTGACCCTCAGCCCCGCCCACGCGACCCCTGACCCCTCGGCTCATCCAGGCTGCAGCGCCTGAGCCAAGCACCGATTCACCGGAAGCTCCCCCCAAGGCTGGCTTAGTCAAACTCCGAGCAGTGGATGGACAGACCCCCTTCCCCTCGCCCCAGAGCAGCTGATTCATGCAACAGTGATTGTTTTCAGTGCTCGCCCACCGCCATCAGTAAACCTGGAAACCCGACCCTCTCCCCAACCCTGGGAACAGGACCCTCCCCCCCCCCCAACCCTGGGGTACGGACCCTCCCGGATTTAACTATTTAATAACATAAACTGATAAGTGGACTATTCCTTAACTTTCATTTCTTTTGTTGTGGGGGCTTTGGGACTGGCTTTTGGGGGAGCGGTTGAGACAGGGTTTCTCTGTGTAGCCCTGGCTGTCCTGGAAATTACTTTGTAGCCCAGGCTAGTCTCGAACACACAGAGATCCTCCTGCCTCTGCCTCCTGAGTGCTGGGATTAAAGGCATGCACCACCAATGTCTGGCATGACATTTCTTTTGAGTAAAAAACCTGGCTTGATCAAGCCAGACCGCCTGAAACAGAGTACCAGGTGATCCTACATTAAAAACAGCTGGACAAAGCAGCCTTGCAGACTACAGCCAGGATTTCTGCATCTTCTTAGAACCCCAATGACAGCGCTCCTTACCAGCAGGAAGTAGTTTGGAAAGAATGATGCCCAAATTCCCAAATATTGTCTATAAATGTTGTTTGTTTTCATTTAAATGGACTTGGTTATAAAAAAAAAAAAAACCTTGGTTCCATAAACAATTCATAGTAGAAAGGGCTGAATTACCATTCCTTTCAAAGGCATTGGGCACATATTCATGTTTTTTTTGTTTGTTCATTTGTTTCTTAAGATTAAACATGTATGTTCATTCAGTGCCCTCAGAGACTAGAAAATGACTCCCTAGAGCCAGAGTCGAAGGCCATTGTGAGCCTCCTGGTAGAATGTAGGTGCTAGCTAGCAACTGAACTCAGGTCTCCTGCAAGAACAGCTAGCACTTCCTAAGCACCAAACCATCTCTCCAGCAGCTGGATCCATTATGCCTATTGATGGAAAGTATCTTAGCAAAATAGGAGACATTTGTTATGGACCAGATGTTTACAAAAATTCAAATGTTGAAATCTAATTCTCGATATGATGGTATTTAGAGGTGGGGCCTTTGAGGTCTAAGTGGAGCTTTTGTGAGTAAGATTTGTGGACTTATAGATCAGAAGACTTGGTGGGTACAGAGACACATGACTGTGTCCCCTGCAGCTGGGGAGCTGAAGCAGGATTGAGTTTGAGGCCAGCCTGCACTGGCTGCATTAGACCTTGTCTCACAGACAAACAAACCAGATACACTGAGAATCAGAAGGAAGGTTCTCACCTGATACTGAATCTGCCAGCATGTGGACTTAGATGTCTTAAATCTTGGAGATGTAAGCATGAATTTGTTTAAGTCATCCATTCTGTGGTAATTTGTTATAGCAGCCCACACTAAGACATTGTTTGTCATACATTATGGCATCCAGCAACAGAAGAGCATAGACAAGTTTTCCCTGTCAATGAACATAGTAGCAAATGGTTACTATGTTCCTTCAAAGTAAACTTTCAATTTATCTAAGAATGCAGGATTCTATAGAACCTTGCCTTTCCCATCACAATACAAACATGAAAACTTGAAAAAGAAATATCAAGATAGTGGTGGAGTTAATAAAAATCCATGAAGGATGGCTTACTTTGTTTTTAGTAATCTTAATCCTAAAGTATTAGTTTTACAACCAAAGTACCAATATTACAACCATCTTTCAAATTAAAAGATGCAGTTAATATTGGAAATAAATCATTCAAACCAGCCTCTAACTTTGGAGTTCACTCACTTCCCAATGCAACTGGTGAAAATTGAAGGAAAACAATTATTCATCCCCTTGCAGAAATAGAAGTAAGGAAGAAACATCCCTGAGAGGAAAATAAATCTACGAAAATTCTCTAAAAGTGTCCAACTTGGTCATATTTAAATGAAGATCCTTCCTTCTTCCTCACAGGTTGGCAAGATAGACTCCATTTCAGATTGCTCCAGCTCCCACCTACAGGATCCCCCCCCCAACTTTCATTTCCTTTTTTATTATGGTAAAACATATATGATTTTCATGATTTCAGCCATTCATAAGTGTACAATTGATTGGTATCAAGTTCACAGTCATATAACTATTACCATTGTCAATGCCTGAGTTTTTTGTCATCCCCTCATGTCTTAGTCAGGGCTACTATTACTGTGCTAAAACACCATGACCAAAGCGACTTGGGGAGGAAAGGTTTACCTGGCTCACACTTGCACATCACAGTTAATCACTGAAGGCAGTCAGGACAAGAACTCAAGTGGGGCAGGAACCTGGAGGCAGGAGCTGATGCAGAGGCCATGGAGGGCTTACTGGCTTGCTCGGCCTGCTTATAGAACCCAGGACCACCAGCCCAGAGATGGTACCACCCACAATGGGTTAGGCCCTCCCATCAATCACCAATTTAAAAAAAAATATATAGGCTTGCCTATAGCCCAGTCTTATGAAGGCATTCTCTCAATTGAGGCTCCCTCCTCTCTAATGACTCTAGTGTGTATCAAGTTGACATAAAACTAGCCAGTACACTTCACAAGAACTTTGTATGTTAAACAGTAATTCTTCCTCTTTCCTGTCCCACAGCTCCCCCATTCTACTTTTTATCTCTATGACCCTGCCTACTCTAAATGCCTAGTATTATTGGAATCATACAATATTTGTCCTTCAATGTCTGGCTTTTGTTACTTAATCCCATGTTTATAAGATCCATTGTAGTGAGATATCCACCCCGCCTGCACCTATTGCCATGTGGGCGGGGTGGATATCTCACTAAATCCATCACCTTGTAGCATGTGTCAGAATTTCATTCATCCTTAAGACTGAATATATATATATATATATATATATATATATATATATATATATATATTCTCCTGATTAGTGCCAAGGAGAGGCCTGTTTCAAACAAAAACTAAGGGGAACGGGAAATTCAAAAGATGAAAGCAGGCATGGGGACAAGATAGGCTGTGGCTGAGGCAGATGGCAGATGATGTCACAGGTTCTTGATCATATATCCACCATCACCAAATTCTGACTTCTTATAACAGGCCTCCTGAAATGTTAACAGAAGCTCTCCCATGATACCATTCAATAGCTGTACCAGAAGTAAAACCTAAAAAATTATTTGTAAACAATTTGTGTCCATTATATTCGTAGTTACATAGCTATTCCTCTTAAGTTCTGGTTAGAGACAAAGAGTTAATATCGAAAATTTCATGTGTTTTGACACAAGAACCAAGAAATGTTGAAGTTTTTCCCTTGGGTGACAGCTAGAATTGTTTATTTATTTTAAGATTTGCCTGTATCATTCCAGTCTTTTTTATTATTATTATTTCTTTGTTTGTTTTAAGATGTGGACTCACAGAATCCAGGCTGACCTTAACTCACTAGGTAACTGGATGAAATTGAAATGCTGACCAGCCTGCCTCTACCTTCTGAATAGTAGGTCACAAGCAAGCACCACCTTGCCCAGTGCAGTAATTTTACCTATTGTCAGATTTGGGTAAGAAAAGAAAAGATGAGCATTTGAGTAAAAGCTAAAAATTAAATCATCAAATAAAAGAATAAAGAAAATAAGGGTGGTCTGATGTTATGGTATCATGGTTAGGATTTTCTATTGCTGTGAATAAACACCATGACCATGGCAATACTTATAAAGAAAACATTTTATTGAGGGGGCTCACTTACAGTTTCAAAGGTTCAGTCCATTATCATCATGGTGAGGAGCACAGTGGTATGCAGGCAGATGTGTGTAGCGGATCTGTCTCTGTCCCACCAGCCAGCTCCCAAATAACAGAGACTTCTTACTGATTACAAAAGCTTGGTCTACAGATTAGGCTTGTTCCTAACTAACTGATATAATTTAAATTAATCCATTTATATTAATTTATGTTCTCGCATGGCTCATGGCTGTTACCTCTCCTCCTTCAGGCTTTAAAGACTTTTGTTTTATCTTTTAACTTAAGACAAAGTAGTTCACAGTCTCTTACAGTAATGTGACCAAGATTTTGTAGTTTATGTGTTGCTTAGAAAAATGATAGTTTGAGATACAAACAGAATAACATAAGTAAGAAATTTTATGAAGATGCAAGTACAATAAATACAGTTGCCTAGAAGTCTTTCCAAGAAGAGGGGAGACCAGTGAGGGATGCTATTGCAGCTGATAGATACTTTTCACTTGTGATGTATGTTGAGATACAATGTATTTAAGCATGAGTTATCTCCTATTTACTTTTGTCACAGTATGGACAAAGTGCAGTGCCTAAAACAGAAGACATTTTAACATTTTAGGTAATCTTTATCTGAGAATGTCTAAAGCCAGCACAAGAGAAATAGACT